TTTAGATATTTGCATTTTAGTACACCATTGTGATAATTTTGTTGATATTACAAAACAACTCAGTCCTGAGGTTACAGCGCACGTAAAACAAGTCAGCACACAAAGGGTTAAAAATTAATAATATTCTTGAATTAACACAAAGTGAAAAAAAGTAAATCAAAAACTCTTCTTTAATCTATTTCTTGTTTTTAGAATTCAATGAAATCATAACTATAAAACAAAAAAAAAAAAAATTATAAAATTTTATATTAAATCCACATTTCAGAGTGTTCATAGCATTCCAAATTGACTTAACTTCAAAACAAACTTCATTGCAGACAGAGGTGGTAATTCATCTCAATGTGACAGATAAAGATAATGCTCTGGATTTCCTTCAGGAGGAAAGCTAATTAATCCCATGGGACTCATAGCATCATTCAGTTTAAAATGAGAACATCTTCAGCAGTTATCTCTCTTTGCCAATGCATTCTTATATATAAAGTTAAGGAATCTACCCCACCACCCTAGCTCCAAACCAGGTGACATAGAGAACCAAACTTAGCATCAAAATGTGTATTTCTGCCTACTGAACTACCATACCAAATTTCTACTTGAATGGGCAACCATAAAAAAAGTTGCCCATTCATTTTAATGCATAGTTAAGGAATCTATCCCACCACCCTAGCTCCAAACCAGAGGACATAGAGAGACAAACTTAGCATCAAAATATGTCTTTTTGCCTACTGAACTACCATACCAAATTTGAACTTAATTGGGCTACCATAAAAAAAGTTATTAGGAAAAAAAACAGGAAATTTGTGGACGGAAGAATGACAGACGGACAGACAGACAGAGTGATTACTATAGGGCACCCGCAAATCCTTGCGGGGCCCTAACAAGATTTGATTTATGTTCCTGACTTAACTTCAAGTCAAAAAAAAAAAATTAAAAATTTGTTTTACTACAACAACAACTCCATAGTCAGTGATAAAATTTTGAATATGTTGATTAACTTGAATCTTCACTACCTGAGCATGCTTTCATATAAAAAACATAGGTAATCAGAGATTACAGAGCTCACCTCAACGAATGTTGTCTTTAAGTAAGGCAAAGTCACACAATTAACCAACAAAAAGTGTACATTCCAAAAATGAAAATATTTAAGCAATTTTGATCTGATACTTTGAAATATACCTACATAAACAATTTAAACTAGTTGTTCATGAAAATGTAATTAAAATTAAGCATCTGAAGCAAATTTTAGAGTTTTCATCTCCTGATGCAACATTTGTGCAAGTTTGGTTTGGTTTATACAATGTTATATAAGCCTTCAAGTTTTTTGGTAATTGACCTGCACCCATAACTTTTACCTGGTCTATTATCTGAAAAAATGTATGTCGAATTCAACTCCAAAGTAAGTCCATTAGTGTGCATCCTAAGATGTATCGTCCATGCAAGTTTGCTCATTATAGGGCTCATAGTTAATTGGAAATGATACATTCATCACAAACTAACATTTTCACTCATCCACAAAATGTAGGTCAGATTCAGCATCCGAAGCAAGCCTGGTAGTATGCATCCTTAGATGTATCATCCATGCAAGTTTGGTCAACATAGGGCTTATAGTTACTTGGAAATGAAACCTGCACCAAAAACTTTAACCTGTTCACTCAACCAGAAAATGTAGGTCAGATTCAGCATCTGAAGCAAGCCCGGTAGTATGCATCCTTAGATGTATCATCCGTGCAAGTTTGGTCATTAAAGAAGTCATAGTTACTTGGAAATGAATTATGCAACAAAAACTTGAACCTGTTCACTTAACCGGAAAATGTACATTGTAGATCAGATTCAGCATCCGAAGCAAGCCTGGTAGTATGCATCCTTAGATGTATCATCGATGCAAGTTTGGTCAACATAGGGCTTATAGTTACTTGGAAATGAAACCTGCACCAAAAACTTTAACCTGTTCACTCAACCGGAAAATGTAAGTCAGATTCAGCATCCGAAGCAAGCCCGGTAATATGCATCCTTAGACCTATCATCCATGCAAGTTTGGTCAACATAGGGCTTATAGTAACTTGGAAATAAAACCTGCCCAAAAAAATTTTACCTGTTCACTCAACCGGAAAATGTAGGTCAGATTCAGCATCTGAAGCAAGCCTGATAGTATGCATCCTTAGATGTATCATCCATGCAAGTTTGGTCAACTTAGGGCTTATAGTTACTTGGAAATGAAACCTGCACCAAAAACTTTAACCTGTTCACTCAACCAGAAAATGTAGGTCAGATTCAGCATCCGAAGCAAGCCCGGTAGTATGCATCCTTAGATGTATCATCCATGCAAGTGTCAACATTGGGCTTATAGTTACTTGGAAATGAAACCTGCACAAACAAGAGGCCCAGGGGCCACAGCGCTCACCTGAGCACATTGGCTAGGAAAAAGCAACTATATCAGATCAGAACTGAAAGGTTACTGGGGGGGGGGGGGGGGGGTTGAATTTTAACCCGACAAGGGGTTCATGATTTGAACAAACTAGAATCTACACTACCTGAAGATGATTCCATATTAAAATCACTAATCATAGCTTTGAAGTACTTGAAAAGAAGATTTTTAAAGGCTTCCCTAAAAATCCCTATGTAAAAATTGGGTCAGCCTTTTTGGCTCCATCCTAGCCCCGGGGGTCATGAATTGAACAAACTTGAATGTACACCATCTGAGGATGATTCCACATGAGTTTCATCTTTCCTGGCCCAGTGGTTCTTGAGAAGAAGATTTTTAAAGATTTTCCCTTTACATTCCTATGTTAAACTTGGGTCGCCCATTTTGGCCCCACCCTAGCCCTGGGGGTCATGATTTGAACAAACTTGAATCTACACCATCTGAGGATGATTCCACATGAGTTTCATCTTTCCTGGCCCAGTGGTTCTTGAGAAGAAGATTTTTAAAGATTTTTCCTATATATTCCTATGTAAAACTTGGGTCGCCCATTTTGGCCCCACCCTAGCCCCGGGGGTCATGATTTGAACAAACTTGAATCTACACTACCTGAGGATGATTCCACATGAGTTTCATCTTTCCTGGCCCAGTGGTTCTTGAGAAGAAGATTTTTAAAGATTTTTCCTATATATTCCTATGTAAAACTTGGGTCGGCCATTTTGGCCCCACCCTAGCCCCGGGGGTCATGATTTGAACAAACTTGAATCTACACTACCTGAGGATGATTCCACATAAGTTTCATCTTTCCTGGCCCAGTGGTTCTTGAGAAGAAGATTTTTAAAGATTTTTCCTATATATTCCTATGTAAAACTTGGGTATTTTGGCCCCACCCTAGCCCCGGGGGTCATGATTTGAACAAACTTGAATCTACACTACCTGAGGATGATTCCACATGAGTTTCATCTTTCCTGGCCCAGTGGTTCTTGAGAAGAAGATTTTTTAAAAATGCCATTAATTTTTCTCTAATTCATAATTATCTCCCCTTGGAAAAGGGCGTGGCCCTTCATTTGAACAAACTTGAATCCCCTTTACCCAAGGATGCTTTGTGGCAAGTTTGGTTGAATTTGGCCCAGTGGTTCTTGAGAAGAAGTCGAAAATGTGAAAAGTTTACAACAACGACGACGACAACGACGACAGACAACGGACAAATTGTGATCAGAAAAGCTCACTTGAGCCTTTGGCTCAGGTGAGCTAAAAAATTTAACCTGTTCACTCAACCGGAATATGTAGGTCAGATTCAGCATCCGAAGCAAGCCCGGTAGTATGCATCCTTAGATGTATCATCCATGCAAGTTTGGTCAACATAGGGCTTATAGTTACTTGGAAATGAAACCTGCACCAAAAACTTTAACCTGTTCACTCATCCGGAAAATGTAGGTCAGATTCAGCATCCGAAGCAAGCCCAGTAGTATGCATCCTTAGATGTATCAACCATGCAAGTTTGGTCAACATAGGGCTTATAGTTACTTGGAAATGAAACCTGCACCAAAAACTGCACCAAAAATGTTAACCTGCTCCAAAAACATTAACCTGGCCATTCCTTTGCTGAAATTGCAGCATCTGAAACTTTGACTGGTACAATGAAACACATTAGAAGCATCTTCCATGCATGTCTAATCAATATAGGACATAGAAGTACTTAAAAAGAAAACTGCTCCAAAAAACTTAACCTGGGACGCCAACGCCGACACCGAGGTCGAGGGTATTACAAAAGCTCCCCCAACTTCGTTGAGGTGAGCTAATGATTAATTATGGCTTTGTCATTCCTGAGAAGAAAATTTTTAAAGAATTTTCCTATATATTTCTATGTAAAACTTTGGTCAGCCATTTTGGCCCCGCCCTACCCCCGGGGGTCATGATTTGAACAAACTTGAATCTACACTATCTGAGGATGTTTCTCCATAAGTTTCATCTTTCCTGGCACAGTGATTCTTGAGAAGAAGATTTTTAAAATATGCCACCAAATTTTCAGTTATTCCCAATTATCTCCCCTTGAATGAGGGCGTGGCCCTTCATTTGAACAAACTTGAATCCCCTTCACCCAAGGATGCTTTGTGGCAAGTTTGGTTGAAATTGGCCCAGCGGTTCTTGAGAAATCGAAAATGTGAAAAGTTTACAGACAGACGGACAGCTAGACAGACGGACGCCGGACAAAATGTGATCAGAAAAGCTCACTTGAGCTTTCAGCTCAGGTGAGCTAACAAAACTTAAACCCATTCCTTAAGTGACAAACACTTCATATGTTCCAGATCTAAAACAACAGAATCATAAATCTGGAATACAGTACTTGGATCCCTTATTTAATACTTTTTATTTGGGTGTGGGGAGGGTGGGGTGTGTGAATGGTAGATGGATGATTTAGTCCTACAGTTGAGATTAGAATCAACATCAAATTACCTCCACCATAGGCAAAGGCTGTAATGGGTGAAGATGCTATCATAGGAATTGTGGTAAATTCTCTATTGGTTCACCCTCCATTTACCCTCACCCCTAACCAAGTAAAGTAGGAGTATGAAGCACCTACCTTCTGAGGCGTGATGGGTTTCTTGTAGAAGAAGATTTCATCATCAGTCACTAGTCCTGATAAGTTGTACTTCTGTGAGAAAAAAATAAAGTTTAATGGATAACTTTCCTCAAATTTCTGGTTGAATCAAGTGATAAATATAACACAAAATTAAACTAAAAACTCCCAAACCTATTGGCTATCTCACATGTTAAGCCCCTCCCTCACCTACTGGCTGTTTTATTTTCTATCATCTTGAGCCCCAACCAATTGGATGTTTTTGTCTCACCTTTAACCCCTTCCCGAACCTTTTGACTGTTTTAATCTCTCACCTTTAACCCCTACCCCAGCCTTTTGATTGTTTTAATCTCTCCCCTTTGACCCTTTCCTGAGCCTTTTGACTGTTTTAATCTCTCACCTTTAACCCCTTCCCTAGCCTTTTGACTTTTTTAATCTTTAACTTTTAACCCCTTCCTAAGTCTTTTGAATGTTTTTATCTCTCACTTTTAACCCTTTCCCAAGTCTTTTGACTGTTTTAATCTCTATCCTTGAACCCCTTCCCAAACTGTTCTACTGTTTTAATCTCTCCCCTTCAACCCTTTCCCTGGCCTTTTGATTGTTTTAATCTCTCACCTTTAACCCCTTCCCAAGTCTTTTGACAGTTCTGTCGGCTTCCTGAACTTTAGATTCACACAGATAGGTGTCCTCCTCAGGAATTTCTGTCACTCGACCTGCAGGAAACAAAATCATCAAATATCATAAGATGTTACCAGAAAACAAGTCTGAACATATCTCTCTCTAGGACTTGTGAAGCTTTATATTTAAGTTCTCATTTGTGCTGTATATTCCTACTTTAAGAGAAGCTAACATATAGTAAATGTGGTTTTGAGATAAAGATTACTCAAACATGAGATCTGGCATTGGGGCCATAAAACTTGGATGAGCTCACTTTTGACCTCTGTCTTACTTTTTCCTAAGGAAATCATAGTGAAAAAGTGAAACTAAGTTTTATAGCCCCCAGGCCTGTTCTTATGGATTGCAAAGCACATAGAATCTGAGACAGCTTTGTACATTGAAGAAAGCAAACCCCTTACTAATGCAGTATTACTTGACAATTAACATGATGAACACTGAATACCTATCAGAGACCTCAGATTTATAGACCTCTACTGAAGCAGTGCTTTTAAGATGCAGTTTCAATAATTTTCCATGATTGCAAATTCTACACTGAGCATACAGTATCATCTGTAGCTAAGATAATGACATAGAGCACAAAGTATCTATCCGTAATTAAGATATTGAGATAGAGCACAAAGCACCCACCTGTAGTTGAGAAAGAGCACAAAGCACCTATCTGTAATTGAGATATAGCACAAAGCACCTATCTGTAGTTGAGAAAGAGCACAAAGCACCTATCTATAATTGAGATAGAGCACAAAGCACCTATCTGTAGTTGAGATATTGAGATAGAGCACAAAGTGCCTTTCTGTAATTGAGATGTTGAAATAGTGCACAAAGTAAGTATGTAAGTTGAAATATTGAGATAAATTAACAATATTGCTATCAATAATCAAGATAACTTACTGATTCAGTATTCCTTGAGATACTGAGATAAATAATTAATGCAGTATTCCTTGAGATATTGAGATAACTTACTGATGCACTATTCCTTGAGATAACTTACTGATGCAGTATTCCTTGAGATATTGAGATAACTTACTGATGTAGTATTCCTTGAGATATTGAGATAACTTACTGATGCAGTATTCCTTGAGATATTGAGATAACTTACTGATGCAGTATTCCTTGAGATATTGAGATAACTTACTGATGTAGTATTCCTTGAGATATTGAGATAACTTACTGATGCAGTATTCCTTGAGATATTGAGATAACTTACTGATGCAGTATTCCTTGAGATATTGAGATAACTTACTAATGCATTATTCCTTGAGATATTGAGATAACTTACTGATGTAGTATTCCTTGAGATATTGAGATAAATCACTAATGCATTATTCCTTGAGATATTGAGATAACTTACTGATGCAGATATTGAGATAACTTACTGATGCAGTATTCCTTGAGATGGAGCACACAACATCTTCCTGAGATCTGAGATATCGGGTGAACAGTCTCCTGTGAACTGAGGAACAACTCGTGTCTGTAAAACAGTCGTGTCGGGGAGTGAGGGATGTCCGCAGGGCGAACAAAGGCCGTACCCGTGAAATACGCGTCATTACTGAAATAGAAAACAAAGATCATAGCAATGAAATACGCGTCATTACTGAAATAGAAAACAAAGGCCGTACCCATGAAATATGCATCATTACTAAAAGAGAAAACAAAGGCTGTACCCGTGAAATGTGCGTCATTACTGAAATAAAAAACAAAGGCTGTACCAGTACAATACGTGTCAGTACTGAAATAGAAAAGCAAGACAGAACCCGTGAACTACGCATCATTACTGAAATAGAAAACAAAGGCAGAACCCGTGAAATAATAATCATTACTGGAATAGAAAACAAAGGCCGTACCGGTGAAATACGCGTCATTACTATTGAAAACAAAGGCCGTACTTGTGAAATAATAATCATTACTGGAATAGAAAACAAAGGCCGTACCCGTGAAATACGCGCCATTACTGAAATAGAAAACAAAGGCTGTACCTGTGAAATATGCGCCATTACTGAAATAGAAAACAAAGGCTGTACCCATGAAATATGCGTCATTACTGAAATAGAAAACAAAGATCATAGCAATGAAATACGCGTCATTACTGAAATAGAAAACAAAGGCCGTACCCGTGAAATACGCGTCATTACTGAAATAGAAAACAAAAGCTGTACCCGTGAAATAAGTGTCATTACTGAAATAGAAAACAAAAGCTGTATCCGTGAAATATGTGCCATTACTGAAATACAGAACATGAAATAAACTTTGTTACTGAAACGTGATATAATAATTATAAGTGAAATACGGAACAAGAAATGAGCATCATTACTAAAATAGGGAACCTAAAAAACTTCACATACTGAAACAGGGAACCTTAAACATGCTAAATAGTGACTAGTGGTGTATCTGACTATTTGTCTACCTGACTATTTGTCTATCTGACTATTTGTCTATTTGACTAAAATTATATACCTTGTATAATAAGTAAGAAAGCTTACTTGATGACAAAGATTTTCTCTATCCTACTAATGTCTGGAGATTCTGTATTATTCTTCAAAAAAACACTGTCACCTAAAAGAAAATAAACATAAGGTCATTAAGTATGGCGTACCAAGATAACTTGCAGTTAAAGCATGTACACACTTTAAGTGTGCCTGGTGACACGTTAAATGTCCTACCTATTTTAAATGTTCCGTAAGGTGTGCATAGTTGTTCATAGTAGTTATACATTAAATGTCCTACCTATTTTAAATGTTCCGTATGGTGTGCATAGTTGTTCATAGTAGTTATACATTAAATGTCCTACCTATTTTAAATGTTCCGTAAGGTGTGCATAGTTGTTCATAGTAGTTATATCCATCCTCTGGGCTGGGGTTTTCTAGAGGGACATCCTGAAAATGAAATATAATTTCTTATTTACATATTTTCTTTCCGTATGAAATTTTCTTTAAAGTAATCATTAATGTGTTATTAAGTCTCCTTAATCTAACCCTTATTTAACAAAATAAGCACAACTTGTTTTGTAAATACACAGGTCAGTTTAAATACTTATAAATACAAGTGATATATTATAGATCTAACACCTACAATTCTCTCTTTGTCCAGGATACTGGTGGCGCCATCATCTACTTCCTCTTCCTTTCTTCCAGCAAACACTGAGGACACTCGCACCGGAACGAGGGGGATTTCCCTCGGGGACAGGGAAACCTGGTCTCCCCCAGGGATTTGCCACACCTAGAAAAATCATCATAATAATCATTTCTTATCACTCCACATTTATCCCGGTAATAAACATATTGATTCAACATTTAAATGACATCATGAAGACCTTATAAAAAAGTTTTTCCAAAGAGTAATTTTCATAAACAACCTAAATAGATAAGCTACATTTTTTGAGTTACTTCCCTTTTGAGGACACTTAGTCCAAGTTGGACATTAAAAGAAATGCCTGATAAAGACCTGTACATTGAGCAGTCAGAAGTTTGAAGGCTCCTCTATTCTACAGAATGAAATCGAGATTACATGATGGCAACAGCAATAATTTTCTGTGTCTATGTACACTGACCTTGATTTTTTTGAAGGACTTGTGGCGGTTACTGTATCTTGATTCACAGACAAACACATCCTTGTCTTCAAACCCCTGAAAATAAAACAAACAAATAAAACAAACAAATAAAACAAACTAATAACATACATGTGATATGTACCGGAGGTACAGGAAATGTCCCGTATTTTCTACCCCCATCACGGTGTCCCGGCGGTACAACAAAATTCACGGGAAATGAAAATGTGTACCGTATTTTGATATTTTTACTGGAAACCGCCATTTTTCTTTCATTCCCGCTCTTGCAACACCGGAAATCTCGAAGTATGCGTGACTTACTGCCCTTAATTAATGTAAACAAAACAGCATGAACAAAGGTGTGAAATATTCCCGTGATAATTACACCGTAATTAGGGGATATCAAAGTGTTAATTTGTTAAGCTGATTGCTTTTCAATAGACAGGTTTATCAAGGATTCTTTTAAACTGTAATTTATTAAAAGTAAAGACATTTCAAAGAAAACACCATTCACAAGAATCGGAGACACTTTGTGACAGCAAAACGAAAATTCATCCATTATTTGATCAGGCATACGTATTGTCTATTTAAACACAGATTAAGAGAAATTATTTTTAGTACAATTTTAATAATGCAGCTGAATGGATACGACCAGATTCATACAATAAAGTGTTTTTAAACACTACTTTTTACTAAGTTCAGCATTTAGCAAAGTTTTATGCCGAAATTCAAAATTCTTCAAGAGTTTCTTGAAATGAAAAATAATTAAATCATGATACATGTTATGCAGTGGTGCACCTGAACATTGATTTAAATTTATTATTAAAAAATAAACATCTTACATTGTTTTTTGGTCGATATTTTGTACCTTTTTTTTGTACCGTTTTTTGGTTAGCAATGTACAGTATTTTCACCCAAAATTCCAGTATTTTGAAAGCTGCTGTACAGTATCTGGGTATAGAAATTATCACATGTATGTAATAAAACAAACTAATAAAACAAACAAATAAAACAAACAATTAAAACAAACAAATAAAACCAACAAATAAAACAAACAAATAAAACAAACAATTAAAACAAACAAATAAAACAAACAAATAAAACAAACAATGTCACTGAATATTCAATGTACAGTGTTAGAACTCAAATGTACAGCTTTAATCCCTATATGTAGAACTTTGAACAATATCTTCAAGTTTTGGGGTTTTTCCTCAAAGTAATCTTTCACGTACAATGTAACATACCTCTGGCTTTGACTTGAAGTAATCTTTGACGTACATAACGTAACACTTTCCGATGACTTGAGACAGAGGAATGCTGGTATAAAAGTCACTCTTAAAGACTTCCTGTAAAATCAAACCAATTATTATTACTTCCATTCTGAATGAGAGCACTCAATCATCTTCGAATCCGAAGTTAGCATTTCAAGCTATATTTCAACATTATTTCAAACTATTTCTTTTAAATGACTACCTAAGGTGTATAGGTTTTATATTTTACTTACATTTCTTGAAACCAAGTGAACACGTGATAACTACATTTACGATATTAGTACAATCATCTACTAACCTTCTCCAGGAATTTTCGACTGGCGAGGTGGAAGGTCTCGTTAGGTCTGTAGAACCAGTTCCCGTGTAACTGTTGTTGTGAGTTAGCGTCTGTATACAACTTCTCTATACACATAATGTGAGGTTCTAATCCCTTCTCCCTATATCAAAAAATAAAGAACTGTTAACAGTGTGTATAACTTCTCTATACACATAATGTGTGGCTCTAATCCCTTCTCCCTATATCAAAAAATAAAGAAATGTTAACAGTGTGATATTCTTGTTTCATCAACTTGCTTGTCAATAATTTACTTTTTTTCAGAAATTGTTCATACGTAGATCATGCTCTTGCATATCGAATCAACAGAAATATATACACACCCTATGCAATGAAGAAGGTATATTGCTGCATGAGTAAGGGAAGTTGATGATGAGAGTGATAATAATTATGAATTAAAGACCCAATTTTTTTACCGTACGGTTACCTGATTGTTTACGGCATTGTCTAACACTCTAAGCTTGGTTGTAACTGGAAGTTAAAAGTGCAACCTAATTTACGAGGTGGAGTGGCCCATGTAACAGTGGTGTTATTTACCTGGAGACCCCCAATACCCAAGATGTCAAAAATCTATATATACGTAGCATTACACAGGAAGTCTGTGTCAGTTGATCAGGGTCAACATTCCGTGTTTTGTGTCTAAATTTGAGTGAAACTACTTGAAATGATTGATATATTTCAATATAAATTTTATTTTTTGATACTTTCAGGGATATCTAATGAAGAAAAAAAAATTATAAAGAAATATCGTTTTTTTTTTTAAATGTAAAATTAAAGAAAAGAACACTCTAGTAAAACTACAAAGTAAACATATCTTTTTTTTTTATTATTAAACTTGTGTAAATATCAAATGTAAAAAAAAAAAAAAAAAAAATATTCCATTCATAGGCCTATCCGTCATGTGAACATATACAATGTATCGCGATAGGAACATGACCTACGTTCTGACCAACAATAACGATGAAAATATTCACTATTTACGGGTGTTCGTGTGTTTAAATTTTTTTATTGTTTGCAAGATTTAATTCTTTCAACTTTTAAGAATTGATCTTTGGCTTTATATATTCACTTTTTAATTTCGAATATTGGGTATTGACAGACGTTAGGAAATTCGAACTAAAAGTTACAATCTCGAAACTCATGTTTCTGACATTTCAGAACTTTACAACGGAACATGGTGTAGATTGTATTCATATTTACATATATAAAAACATGAGTTAAAGGAATTTTTTATCCATGCCGTTTGTGCTAAATTTCTTTTCTTATCTATCATATTCCAATTTTGATCGGCAAATAGCGTTTCTGTGCACGGACTGGTTTAAATTCTACAGCAGATATCTTGGACGACATATCGCCTAAAATGCAATATAGCCCTTGATATTGAAAGCAAATATTTTATGAAGTCATGTTTTATTTATCTACTCTCAATTGTTTTTGAAATAAAATTTTACCTAATCCTTTCTCCCTACCCCAAAAAATACAAGGCGGCTAACATGTGTAAAGCGTTTCTATACACATAATGACTTAATTGTGCTCTAATCCCTTCTCCCTATTAAAGAAATGTTAACAATCGTTTTCAAAAGACACGTTCAGACTATCAGGTAGAATGATGTTGGCCTGTCAATCAAATCAGAAGCTATAGTTTTTTTATATACAGGCGGTAAATTATTGAGGTCTTGAATCAGATATATTGTGCATAAGTTAAAATTGGGTGTTTAAATAGATTTTTTGTTGTGTTGAGATGTTGATGAATTACAATTGGGAGAACAGGTGTTTTAATTTACTTGTAACTAACTTCTATTTCCCTGGACTTATAAAATACTGATTTTTTTTTGGCCTTTGGTTCTTTGTGCAATGACTTCAACTGGGAACACCTTGTCCTTGTACTTATAGCTAAATATTGACACAAGTTATACATGGGGATGTTTTAAATTACCTTGGTTCCATTGTAGACAAAACACCCCATTGAGAACTCCTTGTCCTTGTACATACAGTTGTATATGCGGATGTTTTATGTTACCTTGGTTCTATATAGACAAACTCACTTACTCAGAACTTCTTGTCCTTCTACATACAGCTATATATTAACAATTTATACGTGGGGACATTGTATGTTACCTTGGTTCTATGTAGACAAAGTCGCCCACTCGGAACGTCTCGTCCTTGTACTTAAAGCAGTCCTCTCCATCTCTTTCTGACTGTACAGCACAAAAAAAAATTTACAATACATTAAGCAGCATAAATCAAACTACGTTATAATGAAAATTTTTAAAAGCTTCCATTACTGTAGCTCTATAGCTTAGGTTTAAACCACAGGCCTTTGGATCGCTTAAAAAAATTGTGTGTGTAAAAAAAAATAATGGTATTGAACTCTTACACTGGGTACCTAGTTTCGCTAATAAAATATTTTTTATTCTTAAGCTCTAAAATTCTACTTTTTATTTAAATCTATTCATAGATAAACACTCTTCAATTCTACCAAAGCTCATTCCGAAATTCCATATATTTCTTGAGATATTCTGAAATCAATTTCAAAAATGACCTACTTTCTTTTACTCGACATTAGCTTGGGCCCCTGGTCATTCACATGTAAACAGATGGTGTTTGAAGTGCGGCGAAGAGTTGCATAGTATTCGCAATATCTTTCGACAATTTAAAGTTGATTTCTTATACCGTTAAGTCCGTAATAATATTCCTTTCGCGAAAAATTAATTTGAAAAAGTCTACATCAACAACTACCCCCATGTTGATTATGAATGTAAATGAAGCTATGGTAGAACGAATTTTTCCCAAATGCATTATATACCTTTCGATTTTCAAAACAAGTAGACTGATAAAATTTTGTTTGTGACTTAGTTACACCATATGATCAAATTAAAGAAAAACCTTGTAAAGCTTGAATGCAAATGAGCAAATATTCATTCAGTTTAGAATAAATTCCGGGGAAAATTTGTCCCGTCGTTCCTGCTTTACAATTAGTGAAGGCCCAAGCTGATGTCGAGTAAAAAAAATTAATGTCAATTCGGGAATGGATTTCAGAATATCTCGAGAAGTATAAGGAATTACGGAATGAACTTCAATTGGTAGTAATGAAGATTGTTTATATTTGAAAAGATATGGATAGAAAGTTAATTTGTAAAGCGCATTTGATTTAAAAGAATTTTATTGGTGAAATTAGGTACCCTATAAAAAGAGTTCCATACCTTTATTTTTTTTTCAACACCTCAATTTTTTTTTCTAAGCGATCTAAAGGCCTGTGGTTTAAACCTGAAGACATAAACTTTAAACCCCTATACGCAATATATCACATAGTCAAAATCTAGGATTCTCCTCTCTTTAAACACTCTTCTCACACAGCCAAAATCACGATCAACTCATAATGTATATCATATACACTAAAAGCCAAAATCGATATCCATCCCTATATATTATATTCACACAGCTAAAATCCAGGATCCACCCCAAAACAACATATACTCACACAGCTGGAATCTAGGATCCTCTCCTCTGACTCTCGTTTGGATTGTTTATCTTCATCCTCTTTCTGTTCCTGTTCAGACTTTTTCTGTTTCTCGACCTCCAGGGCAGACGTCAGATGTTTCTCCTGGTAACTGAGCGCCGGGGTCAGGAGTCGCTCTCCGTTACGACAAATCTCATCCCGCTGCTTGATGAAGAACATCTGCATCTCTACCGCATCCTCATACAACTGTCAACAGTGTTAAATCAAACAGATGTAAGACAACATACAGTGTAAAATAACACTCAGTACAGATCCAAGCCATCCTCAACAACTTTCAATAGTGGAGGGTTAAATCAAATAGATTATTCAGTGCAAAATAAAACTCGATACAGCTTTTACACATTGCTCATAACATACACTGACTATTACACAAAACTAAGTTTATAAATTATCACCATTTGTTTATATTTCAGACCTGTTAACCCATTGTTGTCTCTCCAAATTTTTTGTTAGATTTGTGAGATTTGGCATTTACCAGTAAGATTTCAATTTCCATTGATTTCCATCTTTTACAATGTTAATGTTAACCAAAACATGGCATAATGACCAAGACAAGCATGGTTTAACAAAACAATTCTAAATCAGTAACATATAGAAACCACCACATTTTAGCAAATAATTCTATTTTTTTTAGCAATTCAAAAAGGGATTATGACGAAAATTAACTGCTAACATCTAAATGTAAGGATTTTCATATTTTCACACTAGCAACTTTAGACATATTTTGGACTCTGAATTCGTTGATGAAAATATGAGAATTTTCAGAGTCAACAGGTCTGATATTTTGAAATTAACAATTTGAGCATTGATGAATTCTTAATTATAGTATAATTGTTTTGAGTTCACTCACCTGAGAATCTGTTCTACTGAGTCGCCGAGCACGTTCAAAGACCTTAAACATGTCTTCCTGAAATCTATCCATTCTGACGTATCGACCCTTGAAGACAAAAAACTCAGTTAACATGTATACTTAATGCATAGACCCTGAAACACAAAAATCTCATTAACATTAATACTTAATGAACATCAATCATACTAAACGTATCAACCCTAAAACACAGAGCTGACTTTGACTTAATATAATTAGTGAACACAAGTACTAAATAATTTTTGTTTTAATGAGAGAATAATAAGAAGCATATCTCTCATTCATCAGACAGGGTTCTACATTAACCTTAGTCCGTTAGTCTCAGACTAATACATTTTCATTCGGACTAATAAAATTTGTAGATATTTAGTCCGAACGGACTAATAAAGTTTTCTGGGGGAAAAAAAAAAGAATTTAGGCCATATAAAATTGAAATCTTGGTTCTCAGGCCCGCGCGCATCCGTTTTGAGGTAGCCGCATTGCCGATTTTATTGTATTTTTAAAAAAATAAAAAGTTGGTGTTGCGGACCCCACGAAAAAAAATGTGATTTTATTTCGTAGTTTAGTATTCAAATATCACTTCCGGTAGCCATTTACAATGAGATTTTGGCTACTTCGTTTGAAAATACATTCGAGGACATTACCTACGATGTTTACACGCTGTTAAGCAATGGATAAAGCAGAAATTTTGACCAGAAATGGAAAGTATATCTGTGATTAAAAAAATTATCTTTATGTTAAAGAAAATTCGGAAATTGAAATAAAAAAAATACCTCCCTCATCTACTTTATTGCCAATAAAATGAAAAATAAAATGCCGCCCTCCCGCATCTGTTTTGGAGAAAATTGGCCTGAGAACCAAGGAATTAAATTTAGATAGCCTTATCGTTGTTCAAATATTCTCGACAACTTTCACTGGAAAACCCGGTATTTATTTTTAGCTTTCTAGCTTCTTGGTGGGAAGTTAGGTAATTCTAAGTCAATTTGGGGCTTAATTTTAGGACTCATTGGTATGAAATTTATCATTTTATTGATCATGATTTAGTATGACACATAAATAAAGATTTCGGATGTTTAGATGATGTAATCATGTATAGAGGAAAATGAATGAGATTGGGAATACGATCATAGTTCCTAATTGCATGATTTCAACAAATTTTGGTATAAACATTTCATGTAGATGCTTTGTTTATTTCAAAAAAGTCTTAAAAGTACATTGCAAAATTTATTCTATTTATCTATTTATATTTTTGAGGGACTCATAAAATTGCCCGCAGACTAGTGAAAGAAAAGCACTAGTCCAGTGGGACCAACGCCTAAAAATGTTAGTGTCGAACCCTGCATCAACAACAACAAAATTTACAGCTTTTAAAGTTTGCAATAATTTTAATGAATCATTAAAATTATTGCAAACTTTATATCAGATACAACTGATACATACTTTGTATCAGATACAAATGTTTGATAAGCTAATTAAGAAAAAGCAATCTCAGTATAAGACTGATCCTAGACTTACTTTTTCCACATTTCTTTTGATCTGATCAAAGGTTAGAGGTTTCCTACAAAAAAAAAAGTTCAATGGTATAGCATGGGCAAAACAAACAAAAGAATTTCTCCCATTGAATGCAAGGTAAAAATATCCTACAGTAAATCATTCAATGCTATCAAAACCAACAATAGAATCTCTACCACTGAACAGTTATAATCTAACCAGTGTTGTATACAGACATTGGGGTGCTTTAATGTCAGTGCTATAAGCATCAGGAGTTTACAGGAGATTTCCTGTACGCGCGTTTCACTTATTAATATGCTTCAGTCTCTCTTGCAGTGCTTGAAATTAAAGTTTCTATTTAAAGTCCCTGTAAAATTCTGATCCCCTTTTGCAGCTTTAACCTATCTAAAAGTAAATTACTCCTTTCATTTGGACACTGTGTCAATACAACAACTAAATCACCAGTAAGTTACACCTTCAGTTTGTATGTGCTCCATTACAGTAGCCATATTTACTGGTTACCATGGTTACTTACTCCTTCAGTTTGGAAGTCTCTAGATCCTCATCTGGATCTCTCTCTGGAAGCTCCGCAAACGAGTCGCTATAGCAACGACCCTCCTCATCCTGTCGTAGACAAACAGAACATTACACCATTAATCTATTTATAGTAATATGGAGATTCCTATCACATCAATACTTTAAATTTTACATAAAATAAATTCTTAATAATTATAAGAATATCATTCCAGTGAAAAAAGGAATTGTTATTGTTGTTGAAAGAATCCAATAGTGATTGTTGATAAATATAAATAAGTCAATGTATTGTTATTGTTGTTGAAAGAATCCAATAGTTTGTTGATAAATATAAATAAGTCAGGGTATTGTAATTGTTGTTGAAAGAATCCAATAGTGATTGTTGATAAATATAAATAAGTCAATGTATAATAATAAACCTGGTGATTGTAGGTAGATATATAGATAATTTACCTGGTGATTGTAGGTAGATATATAGATAATTTACCTGGTGATTGTAGGTAGATATATAGATAATTTACCTGGTGATTGTAGGTAGATATATAGATAATTTACCTGGTGATTGTAGGTAGATATATAGATAATTTACCTGGTGATTGTAGGTAGATATAAACAGATTGGTCATCATCTCCATGACTAGCGCCCTGACATCAGGGACATCATTAGTTCCATCATCTGTCAACTCCATCTTCTTCTCCAAAACAAGACGCTGTAATGTCAGGGCATCCTACAGACAAACAGATGAAAGATATGGAGGTAAAATCCACCTGTGACATCACTTATTTGTTTAAGCGCTCCATTATTTTTCAGGAATGGAGAGTTGCATATTACATTAAAAACAGAATCTGTACCTTCCCTTGCCTCGATTATTTTATCAATTGAAATTCATTTTCATATAAAATAGAGAAAATCCTAATTTACCTTAACCTGTGTAGTCACTGACAGGTAATTCATTTCACTGATTTATTGAAGCTGTTGATTTGGAATGGCTTAGATCAAATTCAGTACACTTTTCTCGCCTTACCTTCTATAGTATATATAATTTGAATACTACTAATATGTTATGTATATTTACAGTATATAATATTTTATTTAATTTATTAACAAACAATATATACAAGTATTTCAGGTGACATCATTAGTTCCACTCCATTCCTTAAAAGTAATCGACCTCACACTACTAGTACATTAACCCTTACATAACGAACAGTATTCAATATCAAAGTCCATAAAACAATACAAAATAGGAGAAAAGCAAACATGGACCTCTAAACAGATGTGGGATAAGATGCCATGGAGGTAAAATCCACCTGTGACATTACACCCACCGTGTGCTTTGTTGGAAAACAACAGAATAATCCGCTGTCAATTCAATATATAAATAATGGACTTACAATTAGTATGTCTAAGTTAATGGCCTCAAAACCTGGGGCATGGTAGGGACTTCCAAATAACTTTTATATATCCATGGAATATATATATACAGTTAATTCTCGATAAACCGCCACCTTTTGTAATTTAGAAATCATGGCGGTATAACGAATTCGATGAATTGCCTTCCCATCTTTTAGAAACAAGTAGGTTACCGAACTTAGAAATACCATAAAGTGTTTCTATTCTTGTAAGTACATGTACATGTATATAATTAAAACATATTTCTAAACTTTAAAATACTTTAAGTATCTTTTTATGTACAATTCCGTAAAACGTGCAGTTATGAAATAAAGACAAGTACATGTGCATCTATGTACATGTATTTAGTCACTGACAGGTAATTCATTATCACTGAGCTATTTTATTGTTTATTGTTTATGGCATCGTTGTTAGGAAACGCTTTATACCGATAATTATTTTTAAGCAAACTTTGCATTGTTTAAAGCACTTTTCTCGCCTTACCTTCTATAGTATATATAATTTGAATACTACTAATATGTAAATGTATATTTACAGTATATAATATTTTATAAAAATCCGCTGTCAATTCAATATATAAATAATGGACTTACAATTAGTATGTCTAAGTTTATGGCCTCAAAACCTGGGGTATGGTAAGGACTTCCAAATAACTTTTATATATCCATGGAATATATATATATAAAAGGTATGCGAGATATATCAGTCCTTGAGATACCAATAAAGTTTCAACTGTATTCATTAAATACCTTGTAAATGAGTGAGTCCGGTTCGTTATATTTACAAGCGTTGTCAAACATCTGTACAAAGTCGGCGGTGATGTCTTCTATCGATTCGTATTGATTCTGTTGGACCTTCAGTAGAATTTTCTGCATGTCGATTGGCCGCTTTATCACCTCGTAATAATCAGGGTACTCCTGTTAGAAGATAGAGACAGATTACACACAAATATAACACGTCTGTATAGGATTAATCCAGAATTAGGTGTTTATAGGGTACACTTACAGTCTTCAGTGGCAGCTTCAGGAAGGGGAGGGCGAGGTCACGACCTTTAGCGTCCTGGTAATTACTGACCGCGTCGTACATTTCCTGGAGACGAACTGGAAGCAATGTCTGGGACTTGGCCTTGAGGCGACTGTCAAGCAATAAAAAGGGGATAATTCTCAGTTTGAGAATAATTAAATTAAGGATATTCCATCATACAATTTTCATAAAAAGAATTTACAATGTAAAAATATTTAAATCAAGCAATATGGTATTTAAAATAAATAGAATCTGCAGTTAGAATTTACTTCATCAACTTCTCCCTCTTTTTAATTTATCTGTTTTCAAATATGATTTAAAACATATTAGATACCCTTAAGTTAAGATATACTTCATAGATACTGTATACAGGGTTATTTTCGCCCCGTTATTTTTGCCCTTTCACATCTGAAAACAAGTTTGCCCGGTTTTTAATTCGCCTAAAAAGATTTTTGTCTAAAATATTATACTGTAACAGTTTACTTTGAATTCGCCCCGTTTTAAATTCGCCCATGCTAGGATAGAGCAAAAGGGGTGAAAATTAAGCTGGGGCGAAAATTTCCCTGTATACAGTACTTTTATTCAGATACTTTTATAAAGCTTATTGTAGATTCCTTGATTCTGCGACATTTACATTTTTTAAAGATCAATTATAAACAACAACTAAAAGAGTTCTAAACATTCATTCAACATCTAACTGTAAAGCAAACTTTAGGTGAAAAAATAGTAACTTTAAATACAATTTACATGCAGTTTTGTTTTCATTACCCTCTAGGTTTTTCCACTTTTTTCCCAGTGCTATAAATAACACAGAAGAGTAGGATACTCAAATATAAGCCCTCTGGCTTTTAATAACATTTAAATATCTCAGATTTGCTGAACATAATTTTACATTAAACAAGATATCTGGTCTCTGACCACTAGAGCTAAAATGGAGAATTAAGCAAAATATAAAATAAAATAGATAAAGCACTCTGCATTCAGGAAAAAGTCAGAGAAAGTTCGGAGAGAAGAGTGCAGGGAACTAGCAAAGCAGGTTATCCTTAATCTCAGTTATAGTCACTAGGCTGACTTATATCTCAATTATAGTCACTAGGCTAACTTATATCTCAATTATAGTCACTAGGCTGACTTAATCTCAGTTATAGTCACTAGGCTGACTTATATCTCAGTTATAGTCACTAGGTTGACTTAATCTCAGTTATAGTCACTAGGCTGACTTATATCTCAGTTATAATCACTAGGCTGACTTATATTTAAGTTATAGTCACTAGGCTGACTTAATCTCAATTATAGTCACTAGGCTGACTTAATCTCAGTTATAGTCACTAGGCTGACTTAATCTCAATTATAGTCATTAGGCTGACTTAATCTCAGTTATAATCACTAGGCTGACTTAATCTCAGTTATAATCACTAGGCTGACTTAATCTCAGTTACAGTCACTAGGCTGACTTATATTTAAGTTTTAGTCACTAGGCTGACTTAATCTCAATTATAGTCACTAAGCTGACTTAATCTCAGTTACAGTCAGTAGGCTGACTTAATCTCAGTTATAATCACTAAGCTGACTTAATCTCAGTTATAATCACTAGGCTGACTTAATCTCAATTATAGTCACTAAGCTGACATAATCTCAGTTATAGTCACTATGCTGACTTAATCTCAATTATAGTCACTAGGCTGACTTAATCTTATTATAGTCACTAGGCTGACTTATATCTCAATTATAGTCACTAGGCTGACTTAATCTCTGTTATAATCACTGCTCTGACTTATATCTCAATTATAGTCACTAAGCTGACTTATATCTCAAAAATATTCACTAGGCTGACTTATATCTCAATTATTGTCACTAGGCTGATCTAATCTCAATTATAGTCACTAGGCTGACTTATATCTCAATTATAGTCACTAGGCTGACAAAATCTCAATTATAGTCACTAGGCTGACTTATTTCTCAATTATAGTCACTAGGCTGACTTATTTCTCAATTATAGTCACTAGGCTGACTTAGTCTCAGTTATAGTCACTAGGCTGACTTATCTCATTATTCTCATTTATTTTTATCATCTTGAATTAAGATTTATTGCACATATATTTACATGTACATCAAATATAGTCACTTGTAGGTTTTCTCTGATGTAATCTCAGTTATAGTCACTAGGCCTCCCTTGTCTATATCCGTTTAATCCATACCATAGCTACAAGTAAACGACTTTTATCAGAGTTATGTCTTTATTTCAATTTTATTTATTTTAATAAAATCAGTTATAATCAGCGTCAAATGACTTATATCTCAATTATAGTCACTAGGCTGATCAAATCTCAATTATAGTCACTAGGCTGATCTAATCTCAGTTTTAGTCACTAAGCTGACTTAATCTTAATTACTCTCATTAGAATGACCTACATCTCTATTATTCTCATTAAGATGACCTTTACCTCACTTATTGTCAATAGTCTGACTTGATCTCAATTATTCTCATTAATTTTTATCAACTTGAATTAAAATTTATTGCACTATATATTTTCATCAAATACTTGGGAATGTATACATTTTGTGCGTATACCGTAAATCTGGAAATTTTGCTGTAGACAAATTTTTAGCAAATTTGCGAGTTCATTTCATTCGCAAAATTATTTTTCTTAAAATCAATTCAACAATAAGAAAATGTAAACAAAGCAGTGGTCATTTGCAAAATTTTGAAACGTAAAATTAATAAACAGGACTTTGACCCAGATTTGCAAAATAAAATTGACGCAAAAATTTCCAGATTTATGGTATTGCAGAGCATGCTGGGATACAGAGTTAGGTGTGTATAGAGAGAGAGGAGGAAGCACAACACTTACTGGTACCTTTTGCTGAGTGCCGCTCGCCGGGACTCGATCACGTGACAGATCTGTTTCCACTTTGTCTTGAGGACCTTCTCGAGCTGTTCAGCGTCCTGGTAAACCAGGGATTCCTCCTCATTGTACAGACGAGCGTTATTAAACAGGCGCTCAAAATCTGTGATAATATGCTGCTCACTGGGGTACTATAAATAGAAATTAAGTTCAGTGAGATTGAATTGCCCTGTCAGCCCTCAGTTTGGCCTCTATCTGTGACAGGTCAATAATTACCTTATCTGCCCTAAGTTTGGCCTCTATCTGTGACAGGGCAATAATTACCTTGTCTGCCCCCTCAGTTTGGCCTCTATCTGTGACAGGTCAATAACTACATTGTCTGCCTTGAGTCTGACCTCTATCTGTGACAGGTCAATAATCACATTGACTGCCCTGAGTTTGGCCTCTATCTATGACAATAATTACCTTGTCTGCCCTAAGTTTAGCCTCTATCTGTAACAGGTCAATAACTACATGTATGTTGTCTGCCCTAAGTTTGACCTTCATCGGATACATGTCAATAATTACCTTGTCTGCCCTGAGTTTCGCCTCTATCATGGACAGGTCTATAGGGTTTGTAATGACTTGATAATAGTCAGGGTAGTCCCTCTTTGACGGAAGCTGCATGAAGATGTATCTTAATGGTCGTCCGTCTGGGTCCTACAATGATACAGAGTCGAGTCAGTCAACAATTCAATAGTTACTCAGTTAGTATTATGTGACTCCTACAATGATACAGTAAGAACGAGTCAGTAAATGGTAACTTTAATATCTGACACTTACTGTGGCATCAAACACGGATCTGTACAGCGTCCACAACCTCCGCTTCATCATCTCCTCTGGAGTCGCCCGCTTTGCCCGCTTCTTGTCGCTGTCTGAGAGCCCGGTGCCGCGTCGCTGCTTACTGGATGTACTCGCCTGACTGTCCTCATCAAAGAACTCGCGAGAAATCTTCTGAAACAAAAACAAGTCTGATCAAGTCATCAAAGAACTTGCGAGAAATTTTCTGAAATCAAAACAAGTCTGATCAAGTCATCAAAAAACTCGCGAGAAATCTTCTGAAACAGAAACAAGTCTGATCAAGTCACGAAAGAACTCGCGAGAATTCTTCTGAAACAACCATAGGAATCAATCCTGATCAAATTTCCACAGTCTCATTTCCACACATATAATATATCAGTTTTGAGTGAGAGATGGGAAACCCTTATATTACAGAAAGAATGAGTTTCCATGCTTTGCTATGGGAAATCAGACAGGCATATTTATATTATAGATGTACTGACAGAGAGAGTGACATCCCCATTACAATATACCCAAGTTTTTAAGTGGAAGGTATAAAATGAAAATTAATCAAGCCATCCAGAAAAGAAGGCGAGCTTGTTCCTCAATGATTGAAAATAAAACCCTGACACTTCCATCCAATTTTCACTATAACAACATCTGTCCAACAACAGGAAATTACTATTTTTTTTTACATTTAATGTTTGATATAAACTGTCTGTGTGGGAGAAGGTTTGGAGATTGTGGTGGTGGTGGTGGTGGGGGGGGGGGGGGGGTTAAACTCCCCTGAATTTTTTTCTCACTTACCATGGCGGGCAGGTCAAACTGAGAAGAGGAGATGTCATCCAAACCCAGATCCTGGTAATAGAGAACGGACATCACCAGACATAGCACACACACAGTATATATTCTCAATGTTCTAACATCAGCTGTATAGCTCATTTATATCTTATCTGCATTAAATGTTTAATGAAAAAAAGGGTTCATGGAAAAGATTTTCATTGAAAAATTTAAATTTATGTCTTATAATATGGATGTAAACTTAACCCTAAAGATAAGTTAATAAGAGAATGGGGAAACAATACGGCAAAATTAATGTTATAAATACAGGCAAGATGCAAGCAAGCATTATGGGTAATGCAAATGAATATGCTGACTACCTGAATGTGTTGTAACACTAACCCCCCCCCCCTTTCCCGTCTTTAATCCTTACACACTGTTCATCCAATTATGGGAAATGCAAAAAAATATTCTGACAACTAGAGTGTGTTGTAACACTATCCCGCTCTTTCCCTTTTTATTTCTTACACATAGTTTATCCAATGAAATAACACCTGAGTAAAAATTCATACTGAACAATACAAAGCTTTACCAATGAGGGATAATTCTACAGATATTTCAAAGGTTAGAAAAGTAATGTTAAATATGCAAATTACTTCCAGTAGTTTTACACATGATGTAAGAGATATTACCTATTTATTTAAACTTCCACCTACACAACTGAATAAAGAGCTAATTTACTATAAATAAAAAAAATTAGTTTGAATAAAATGACCATACAACATTCAAAACACAACACAAAGAGGAGTGGGTTGGGATTGGATAGGCAATTCAAAGATGGCTGACATAACTGTTTGACAGCCTTCTTAATAAAGATCACCAAAGTTAGGCCAGGCAAATTTTGGTTGTAAAACTCAATAGTGTAACATAGTCGTTAAGTCAAATGCTGACTGGTGTTTTTAATATTAAATTGTAAGGGAATTACACATTAAAATATCAATGGATTTTTCCTTTATTTTCTGATCATGACAAGGAGCACACGGCGGGTGTGACCAGTTAGCAGGGGTTCTCACTCCTCCATGGCACCTGATCCCACCTCTGATGTTTTAGAGGTCCGTGTATGCTCAGCTCCTGTTTTGTATTGTTTAAAAAAATGGACTTTTGATCTTGAATACTGTTCGTTATCTCCATATATTTCATTAGATACATACAGTACTTATGGTACACTTTTTTGTTAAGACCTAAAGGAAACGGTTTCTCTAAAAAATAGCTTTTTTGTTTATCTTTAAATGTTTTTAATTATACAAGAAACCAAAACAAACTTGTACTGTTAAAGTAGTCTAAAGAAAATAAAATTTGACCAAATTAAGTGCATTTATCCTAAAACTTCCTTTCCGATTTCATTTTTAACTATTTTGATATAAACAAAAATTCAAGGTAGATGTTAATTTCATCCATGAGAATATTAAATTTAGGGACATATGTCTGAACATGCCATCAACAACTGTTTAAAACTGGTACAAATTCAAATCCATTCCATGAAAATACAAGACAAACCAAGCACATTGACTAAATCTGTGTCAAACTAACTCTTTACAACACAGTTTAATACAACATCAACAATCAAGGCCAAAATAAAATGTAGGAGGGTACAACATCCTAAGACAACCAATATCATTCCTACATCCACACATCAAAGATGTAGGTTATTAGTCATAACATGCCAGCAACAAGACAGACTATAGGTTTACATCTCTACACCAGACATTCCTAATTCACGTATTAGAAGTGTCCCTTTGTAGAAACCTTTAACTTCATACAACACACAAACTCATAAGTCTGACACAAAGGGAGGGGCAAAATGCAGAATCTATTTCTTCAAACTGTCTGCAAAGAATACACACAAGCACAGCAGAAATAGTAATGAAATTAAGATTTATTACAACAACAAATCTGGGTACACATATAGAATCCACTGTCCTCAAGCTCTCAGTATACCAACAAGAAATGATCACATATCTGGTTTAAAACCTTTGCATTACATTGTTTTTTCTTTCTTAAAGATCATTATTTCTTGGTGGTGATACTAAATCTTGTCAGGAACAGTAACTCTGTCAGCCTTACCTTGCCAGGAACAGTAACTCTGTCCTTATATAATTACCTTGCTTCCTTCGAGTCGATCCAGCTCTCTCTTCCTGTCCATCATCACCTTCTGGAGAATCACAGCATGCTAAAAATAGAAATTGTAGAATCACAGCATGCTAAAAATAGAAACGGTAGAATCACAGCATGCTAAATATAGAAATGGTAGAATCACAGCATGCTAAAAATAGAAATGGTAGAATCACAGCATGCCTAACCCACAGCATGCCAAAAATAGATACATAATTATAAAGGTAGATATCACATCTGTAGCGTGATAATATGCAAAAACTTTTCTTTTACTTCTTGTTGATTTGAAATCATCCTGATACAGTTATGTATGAGACCTGGTCTTGAGTTTGCATGCCCAGACAAAAGGGCCAAAAATAAAATGGGGCAACATTTCCCATATATAGCAATTATCATCTGAAAAATGTACAGGGTATTTGATATTAAAGATCAGTGTCGTATTATATCATTAACCCTACTTGATAGAGTTAACAGTCATTAGTGCTATACTATTTTAGCATTTAGCTGTACCTTTTGTTCTTCATACGTATCGCGGTATTATTTTGTGAATACCGGTCGGGTTCAATATCCTATAAATTGTTACAAAAAGAGTTGCCCCTAAGGTAAAATATGGCGGCAAGCAACGTGCTTAGCATTCTATCAGAAATGAAAAGACGACAACTGTTACATGAAAGCCCTTCATGTTAAAGCAGAATCTGAATAATCTGAATATTACATTTTGATTCTTAAAGTTGTGCCACAAAAACTTAGCTTGCCACTTGCGTACACACAACGCGATCAGGCAGTTGTAATATCAACTCGAGTTATGGAATTTGAAACATTGAAAAAGCAAAATTCATTAAAAATTTTATATTGTGATATATTGCAATACAAAATATAATATTGCAATATATCGCGACGTAACATTTAACAGTTTGTATTGCTTAGCATTCTCAAACACCTGGTTAGATATAAATGGATACTGTAAACATAACATTCTAGATACTGAGTAACATTTAACAGTTTGACAGATTGAGATATAAATGGACAGCCAGAGAGCATAAAGATAGTTTTCGATAGGTCAGAATTTAGCAAGAGTTATTTCCCATTGGCCGCCATATTGGAGGTCCAAATGCTCAAATTCCTTCATTTTCAACCAATTTTAAATTTTTATATTTGCTATTTTGAATTAGGAATCATTATTTTTCTGAAGTATATAAATTATTGGAAGCCTCCTTTATTTAAAAAAAGAATAATAACAATACGAGTCCTCTTATAATGTGTATATTACAGATTCCGTTGCAAACAATATTGTTTACTTTAAATTTGTATTCAGTGTATTATATATTAGACACGAAAAAATATTTTCACAAGTAGATGGTGAAAAAAAAATGTTAACATGAATAAAGATACAGAAAGTACCTTGATTTTTTTGCGGACATTGGAGAGAGACATTGGCTTAGAAATTTCTTCATAATAATCCGGATAAAACCTGAAATTGTAAACAAGTTAATAAAATATCAAACACAACAAATACAGTAACAAATATAGTCACGTGTTTCCGAGACAACAACCCTTGGCAGATTTGGCCGTTTTATTCGCGCAAACGAATTTGATTGGCTGCGAAGTCCGAAAGGTTTTTACAATCGACGATTTTCGACTGGTGCTAAAAGTAATATATACAATGGATGAAAGTTGTGTAATTAATTAATTTGAATTTTTTTCTTTTAATTATATATGTTTTCAAGAATTATTGCAAGGACCACATAAGTATTTTAGATGCATCAATTTAAGTCAAAAGTCACGGCTCATTGATAATAATTGATACGGCAACAAGTGTAGTGTATCAAAAAATCCATTTTCTTCCACTTTTGAGGTGTGCCCACTGCCCACAGCTGTATGAAGTTGTTTGGATATATTCCACATGGAGGTCGCCACTCATATTGAGATACGTATGTTACAGCTATTTTCATTGGACAAATATTTAAGAGCTTCAAGGGACTCTCAATTTCGGCGATAGGCGGCGCAGATAGGACTAAATCTGCCAAGGGTTGTAATTTTGGCTTCACTGGGTGCTTTACATGCATAAATGATATATATATATCAGTTTTAATGACTGCATCGCTACAAAGTCGTTAAAGTCTTTGCAATAATTTTGGCTTACAGCATAAATGATATCCAAGTTTTAGGATGTACATCTGAGCTAGAATTGATAGAGAATTTTACAGAACACAAATATATCAGATCATTTTCCAAACACTGACAGCTCTTACTGTGAAGTATACTCCACATGTGTTAGAAATTCTATATAAGGTAATAAATAATGTGAACGATAAACAATCCACTGTAAACAATCAACAACCAACCATGTGTAAACAACACCTAAAATAAAATTAAGTTTGTTTGCAGTTGCCTACCGACCCACTGAAATTGCACCCGACCCAAACTTTTTTTTAGCCGTTTGGTCATTTGATTTTTTTTTCAATTTTTCAGAATATTGAAACAGTTTTGTTTTCAAATTTTGACACGTTTTTTATCATTCAGTAGTTTATAACAAGAGGTGAGCTTATTCATGTCTAGTAGGTGTATGAAAACCTCTTTTAATTGTTATCTAACAAAAATCTGATTTTTTTCCAAGGAAAAAAAAAAGAATGCCTACCTACCGACCCAGTCTAATCAAAGTGCTCAGAAGTACAGAGAGCCGGGCTCATTTACAGAGTAGAATCATTATGAATTTCTTACATGAATCATATGTTTATATTGTATTAACAGATAAAAAAAAAGAATATCAGTTTTAAAATTCTGATGAAAAAATCGTTTTAAATCTATCAATATAAATGATAAGACACTGACAGTGAGTTTCTATCCTAATACCATGGTCCGATTTTTTATTATATACCTAATGTGTATCACCCAATTTTACTGTTGAATTTACGCTATCATGTGACGTCGTGATCCGATTTTCCGGATCATCAACATGTTGTTTTCTGAATCCATATCACCACTCTCTGAAACTGATGACGTAGTTCACAGAAATATGACGTTATTTTTCTTGCGCGTTAAAAAGTCCCTTGTTATTATGCTTTGTTTTATGGATAAATGTTATGTAATTGATCTCTAAAGTTTTCTTTTGCTATATTTTGCTAGTTATGAGGGGGTATATAATAAATTTATCATTATAACAGTAACTTGATCCGAAGAGCCGTATCACGTCTCGTTGACAGGCGCGGATCATCAGATCAAACTCGACGCTTCGCATCTCGTGTTTGATCTGATGATCCGCGCCTGTCAACTCGACGTGATACGGCCCTTCGGATCAAGTTACTGTTATAATAATATATATGTCAGAATCAGAATTAATCTGGTACCGCAACTGAAAATAAACAAACAGGCCAGTCTGGTTCCCTCTCCTGCTTTTCTTTGTATGTGTAGAGAACTAAGATACATGTAACACTGATTATCAAATCTCCTTACACCAATGAACTATATGTTCTTTGACTTAAGACTGAAGTTTTCAAAGGTACTAAATATGTTTATTTATTTAGATAAAACTTCATTTTATTTTTGTTGCTTTATTTAGCATTTGTATTATCTCAAAAGCGGTTGAGAGTAAGAACTATATTTTTACACATAACTTTAAAATGGCGACTATGGGGTTAACATCCTGTCTTGAACAGGATCACATAAGCCGGCAATTGCTCTTTGAGCAATAAGCCCGGCTAAAAATCATAGGTCGGCAACTGCAAACAAAGAATTTTTTAAGCTTGGCCCAATCAACAACCAACCATATGTAAAAAATTAATAACCAACCTTTTACTTGGGAGTTTTACAAACGGCTCAAAGATGGTCTCCCCTGACGACATTCTGTGTGTCTTGACAGCGTTTAGGAGCGTGACGTAGAGGTTGTCATCCTCGGACATGATGGTCTCGGCGCCGGAGTCGTCGTCGTAATCCAGTAAACTGGCGTCCATCGACGCCTCCAAATCGTCCTCGTCATCTGATGGGTACTTCAGTGCCGCACAAACCGCCGACATCTTCTGGAGATTTCTGGTCCTGGTCAATAAACAAATCAGGTTACAGATAACAAATCAATCAACCAATCAGATTACAGCACACAAACCGCCAACATCTTCTGGAGATTTCTGGTCCTGGTCAATAAACCAATCGTATTTCAGAGCTTATTCTTAATTCAATCAATACTCAAACAGCCTGGATTTGCACAGAAATTCACAGAAACAAGTGGGGGGGGATTTAGTATGTTTTATTTCCAAACCGTATAACAGTACGAGTCCTTTTACTCAAAATACAATTGTGGAAAACTGCATTGATGCACTTACATGTAAGTTACATAAAGAATAAGTTAATTTGTTTAATAATATAATAGACTAAAAGTTCAAGAATATCATGTAAATAAGTTTCTTAGCTCTTTCCAGTGGTATCAAATTCTTTAATTTCTGTGACATGGTTAATATTTCATAATCAGTTCTCAGAATTTTTCCAATTCCCCTGCTACTTTCCAGCTTACCTGACCCTCTCTGGTGGCTTAGGCACCATGTTTTTTCTCTGAATGATTTCCTGCCTTTTCTTCTGTATAATTTTCTTCATTTCTACTGCATCCTGTCAATCGATAAGTGAAAACTAACAATACAACATCTATTTAGTGACTGCAATAGATTTGATCAAGTGTCAATGTCACACTAATAATGGAGCCTTCAATTTACAAAGCAATATGTCCTTAAAAAATTAGTATTTTAATTTCAGCAAGAAGTAAAGCAATATTAAAATTGCTAATAAAGAACGCTATCACAACTTAAATGCAATTAATTTTTAGCAAATATTCAGTTTTAGCATTCTCCTCACCCTCACTAATAAATCCAAAGCTTATATTAAATCTCATTAAAATTCTGCTTATACAGTATAAAAATAATTTTCTGACTACAGATAAAAAGCTTCAAGCTGGCAAGAAAGTTGAACATCAAACAAACCATCTGTAGACTCACTGTGTTACTAACCTTGTAGATGACAGACTTGGGTTCGTTAAACGTCCTGGCATTCTTCACCATCAGGAGAAAGTCCTTCTCGATTTCCTCCAGCGTGTTATACATGCTGCCCTGGATTTTCTGGGCGATCATCTTCATATCAATAGGATTCTTAATGATCTGGTAATACTCCGGGTATTTCTATAACACAAGGTTAACATTATAATCCTATAATCTAAGGTATTTCTATAACACAATGTTTACATTATAATCCTATAATCTAGGGTATCTCAATAACACAACATGAACATTATAAACCTATAATCTTGGGTATTTCTATAACACAACATGAACATTATAAACCTATAATCTAAGGTATTTCTATAACACAGCGTTTACATTATAATCCTATAATTTACGATCTGGTAATGATTTTACATTTACTGACCTCTATTTTACACAAATTTACATTTACTGATCTCTTAACTTTAATATCTATCCTTACTGATGGATCTGTATCTATACTTATACTTACTGATCTCTATTGTTATTAATCTCTATCTTTACTTATACTTACTGATCTCTATTGTTATTGATCTCTATCTTTACTTATACTTACTGATCTCTGTGGTAGGGTCTCTATACTTACTGACCTCTGTGGTAGGGTCTCTATACTTACTGATCTTTGTGGTAGGATCTCTATACTTACTGATCTCTGTGGTAGGATCTCTATACTTACTGATCTCTGTGGTAGGGTCTCTATACTCTGTGGTAGGATCTCTATACTTACTGATCTCTGTGGTAGGGTCTCTATACTTACTGACCTCTGTGGTAGGGTCTCTATACTTACTGATCTTTGTGGTAGGATCTCTATACTTACTGATCTCTGTGGTAGGATCTCTATACTTACTGATCTCTGTGGTAGGGTCTCTATACTTACTGATCTCTGTGGTAGGATCTCTATACTTACTGATCTCTGTGGTAGGGTCTCTATACTTACTGACCTCTGTGGTAGGGTCTCTATACTTACTGATCTCTGTGGTAGGAACTCTATACTTACTGATCTCTGTGGTAGGGTCTCTATACTTAGGGTCTCTATACTTACTGACCTCTGTGGTAGGGTCTCTATACTTACTGATCTCTGTGGTAGGGTCTCTATACTCACTGACCTCTGTGGTAGGATCTCTATACTTACTGATCTCTGTGGTAGGGTCTCTATACTTACTGATCTCTGTGGTAGGATCTGAATCTATACTTATACTTACTGATCTCTGTGGTAGGATCTCTATACTTACTGACCTCTGTGGTAGGATCTGTATCTATACTTATACTTACTGATCTCTATTGTTATTAATCTCTATCTTTACTTATACTTACTGATCTCTATTGTTATTGATCTCTATCTTTACTTATACTTACTGATCTCTGTGGTAGGGTCTCTATACTTACTGATCTCTGTGGTAGTGTCTCTATAATAACATACTTACTGATCTCTGTGGTAGGGTCTCTATACTTACTGATCTCTGTGGAAGGGTCTCTATACTTACTGACCTCTGTGGTAGGGTCTCTATACTTACTGATCTCTGTGGTAGGGTCTCTATACTTACTGATCTCTGTGGTAGGGTCTCTTTACTTACTGACCTACTTACTGATCTCTGTGGTAGGGTCTCTTTACTTACTGACCTCTGTGGTAGGGTCTCTATACTTACTGACCTCTGTGGTAGGATCTCTATACTTACTGACCTCTGTGGTAGGGTCTCTATACTTACTGATCTCTGTGGTAGGGTCTCTATACTAACTGACCTCTGTGGTAGGATCTCTATACTTACTGACCTCTGTGGTAGGGTCTCTATACTTACTGACCTCTGTGGTAGGGTCTCTATACTTACTGGTCTCTGTGGTAGGATCTCTATACTTACTGATCTCTGTGGTAGGATCTCTATACTTACTGATCTCTGTAGTAGGATCTCTATACTTACTGATCTCTGTGGTAGGGTCTCTATACTTACTGATCTCTGTGGTAGGGTCTCTATACTTACTGATCTCTGTGGTAGGGTCTCTATACTTACTGATCTCTGTGGTAGGATCTGTATCTATACTTATACTTACTGATCTCTGTGGTAGGGTCTCTATACTTACTGATCTCTGTGGTAGGGTCTCTATACTAACTGACCTCTGTGGTAGGATCTCTATACTTACTGACCTCTGTGGTAGGGTCTCTATACTTACTGACCTCTGTGGTAGGGTCTCTATACTTACTGGCCTCTGTGGTAGGATCTCTATACTTACTGATCTCTGTGGTAGGATCTCTATACTTACTGACCTCTGTGGTAGGGTCTCTATACTTACTGATCTCTGTGGTAGGATCTCTTTACTTACTGATCTCTGTGGTAGGATCTCTATACTTACTGACCTCTGTGGTAGGGTCTCTATACTTACTGACCTCTGTGGTAGGGTCTCTATACTTACTGATCTCTGTGGTAGGATCTCTATACTTACTGATCTCTGTGGTAGGAGTTGGAACACCAGACTGATGTCCCTGTCCCCGTCTCTTGCATTCATGGCGGCCGCGAACAATTCCTCAATTTCCTGCGGGTCGTCCTTCACATCCTCTGTCAGTTTCTCCGAGGGAGAATCATCCTCCTGGAATGTAAAACAAAGCAGAGATTAAGTCTTATATACTTAAAACTTAAATCAAAAACAAAACAGAGTTATCTCCTACAATAAAACACAAACTACAAACAAATCTAAGATATGTTTTATACTTCAAGTGTGGCACAGTGGTTAGAGCGTCTGCTCTAGATTCGCAAAGTAAGGAGTTGATCCTTATTCACGGGTTGAAATCTTACTGTGGGACGTGGAGACTGGTCCTTAGGATGAGACCATATTATCTGAGTTTGTAACGGAAAGAAAACCTTAAACAAACCTGATATGCTTTCTTTGATATTTCATTTTATGTTGTATTCATGACTATTCATGACTATATGCCAATGTATGATGGTGTTGTCAATAAAATGAATTGAATTGAATTGATGTTTTGTTTCACAGTAGGTGCTGGCATAAAAAAGATCCCTCCCTACTCAATGGCCCTAAGTGCCGAAAAAAGGACATAATTTGGAGCTCTCCACCGGTAAGTGGTGGTGTCTCCACATGAGTGAAAAATTCTTAAGAGGGACATTAAATCATATGCAGAGATGTCTGAGTAAGGAACAAACAACTGCAAGGGAGATTGAAATTTTCTCTTTTGACATATTCCCGCTTTTGACACATTCTCTCTTTTGATACTTTCCCTTTTTACCTCATCATCATCTTCCACTTCCTGTAATGCCTGCCTTGCGCTGCGACGTCGCTCTACTCTTGGTTGCTCTGTTTCTCCAAATGCGTCATTGAGCAGGTCGTTCTTTGTGTCATTGTACACTTCCAGGAGTTCTGCAGCATCTTTAAATTCTTGAGACGATTTCTATAAAAACAAATTTTGCTTAAGTCTTCTTATAAATAATCACTAGTTAAATAAAATCTGACTGGCCAAGACAGTCATGAGATCGTTGTGTTTGCCCTAAAACAAAACTTTGTGTTTCACATCAGGTTTCACGATTGCAGCAACAAAGATGATTACTAATGAGTTAGATTGTTTATATGTATCTTGTTATATGGACTACCTTATAATACAGATTGGCGTTGTTAACCATCAGTTCTATGTCTGTTGTTCTATTACCTTATAATACAGCTTGGCGTTGTTAACCATCAGCTCTACGTCTGTTGTCAGTTGATCTATATCCTCGTATTCCTCCATTTTTAATTTCTGCTGAATTTTCCGAAGGTCAATTGGAGTGGCCACCACTTCATAATAATCAGGAACCGCTCTAAAGGAATTAAACAACACGACATTTAGGTTAATAATACAAGAACCTTTTTATAGAAAAATTCTACAGATTTAGATTATTACAGGTCATTATTTATCAATACAGAATTCCTATACAACTCTAGTGAATAACTTTCTCTGTAGAACCCTTATAAATGTCTCACATATCACCCCTCTATTCAGTATATGACTTCTTGTGAATAACCTCCTTTGTGAGGCCTTTATAAATGTCTCACATATTAACCCCCCTCCCCTATATTCAGTATATGACTTTCTGTGAATTACTTTCTTTGTGGGGCCCTTATAAATGTCCCACATATTAACCCCTCTATTCAGTATATATACATGTACTCCTGGGAATTACCCCCCTCCCCCATATTTAGTATACACTCCCTTGAAATTACCTTCACTTTGGGGCCCTTATAAATGTCTCATATACTACCCCCCCCCCTCCCCCCTCAATTTAGTATATGACTATTTGGGAATTACCTTCTTTGGGGGTCCCTTATAAATGTCCCACATATTGCCCCCTATATTCAGTGTTTACATTACCTCCTTTGCGGGGCCCTTATAAATGTCTCACATATTGCCCCCTATATTCAGTGTTTACATTACCTCCTTTGCGGGGCCCTTATAAATGTCCCACATATTGCCCCCTATATTCAGTATTTACATTACCTCCTTTGTGGGCCCCTTATAAATGTCCCACATATTGCCCCCTATATTCAGTGTATGACTATTTGTGAATTACCTCCTTTGCTGGGCCCTTATAAATGTCCCACATATTGTCCCCTATATTCAGTATTTACATTACCTCCTTTGCGGGGCCCTTATAAATGTCCCACATATTGCCCCCTATATTCAGTGTTTATATTACCTCCTTTGTGGGGCCCTTATAAAGGTCCCACATATTGCCCCCTATATTCAGTCTTTACATTACCTCCTTTGCGGGGCCCTTATAAATGTCCCACATATTGCCTCCTATATTCAGTATTTACATTACCTCCTTTGTGGGGCCATCATAAATGTCCCACATATTGCCCCCTATATTTAGTATTTACATTACCTCCTTTGTGGGGCCCTTATAAAGGTCCCACATATTGCCCCCTATATTCAGTCTTTACATTACCTCCTTTGCGGGGCCCTTATAAAGGTCCCACATATTGCCCCCTATATTCAGTATTTACATTACCTCCTTTGTGGGGCCCTTATAAATGTCCCACATATTGCCCCCTATATTCAGTATTTACATTACCTCCTTTGGGGGGCCCTTATAAAGGTCTCACATATCAGCCTTCCTTCCTCATTTTTGTAAGTTCTTATAGTCTCGTACAACTCTTGACAGATCTCAACCTGGAAATATAAATAAAATGATAGAATTCATCATTAAAAGCAATCAGAATTAGAGAACTTATGATGAATATGTTGGATGTATTGACATGAGTTACTGTAAACTATGGGACTAACTGGATAATTCTTAGTTTTAGATTTCCATGTTATTTATTAGTATTTGTGAACTACTGCCCTTACCAGTTCTAATTTAGCTTAGCAGTTTAGCATCTCTGTAAACTTACTGGATCATACTGAGCTTTGCGTTTGCGTTTTTGTGAACTAGGGGCAGGCGACTCTTCTCTTTCTTCACTCTGTCTCTCACTTCCAATCGTTGAGGTTCTCTTTCTTTTTCCAGGCATCATCTGTGGATAAAAGTATTGATAATGTTAACATCTTACTTCTTTATCAATATTTATGCTGAACAAAGTTCATTTATGCTGAACAAAGTTCTGTACATGTTTTCTTCTAAAAAGATTTTAATTAGTTAACATGGTTAAAGAATTATCATCCAAATAGACCAGGGCTCTCACACCAGTTTTTGGGACTGGGGCCGGGGCCATTCAAATTGGGAAAATTATCATCATTTTGGGAAAAGTTGGATAACACAAATTCATTAAAAAAAAATCCTCAAATTTTGCTTTTTTAGCATTTTATCATCAATGCTAACTATGGTTTGAATAAACAGTTAAACAGAACAAACATGGGTACCAGGGATTTATCAAGGCTGTTTTTACTACCGGTAAACGGTACCTTTCCCATCTTGAAAAAGTTGAAAAATACCCCTTTTTCAGAAAGAAAAGTCTCCAATTAAACGGAGATTATCTAAAACATCGTACTGAAATTTTCCGTTTTGTCCGATTGAAGTTTAACAGCATATCCTAATTCACAATCCTAGTCATTCAAACGCTTTTAAAAGAGAGAGTAGATTATTCAAGCTTCTATTGATATTGATCGGTAAACATGTGCCATGTCCATGATGTCAAAATATTTCCATTTCTAAATTTTTTTCTCTATAACATGTATGATAACCCTTTGAAAGTGAGTGGAGTTGATTTCCTGATAATTCTGCCGGAATGTAAATTAGGCAGGTCGATAGGTCAACAGCTAAGGAGGCCTAATATGCATGCAAATCTCGTGCGCATCTGTCTCTGTGTCTGACGCTAAGGAGGCCAAATATGCATGTAAATCTCGTGCGGCTGCCTTTGTGTTTTACGTCAGTGTGCGAGGACTATTGAAATTGGCATGGAAGTCCTCGTGTAATTTAAATCGATTAGTCTACATTCTTAATGTCTAAGTCTACAATTTTATTTCACAATGAAATGGAAATATAAGGAATCACTGTCTAGTTTTGAGAGTATGCCAGGGACATCAACAATAGTGGGAAACATGGGATAATTTTAGCATAACGGGCAAATTATCCCATGTTTCCCACTATTGTTGATGCCCTGGCATACTCTCAAAACTAGACAGTGATTCCTTAAATATACGTATGCGATTGCAGAGTTAAGAAAAGTGTAGACGAGTAAGATGGAGCTTAAATCACTATGAATCGGAAGAATGGAGTAACAACAAAAACAATGTTAGTAGTGAAACATGAAAAACAGAATTGATTTGTGATAGATATTGAGAGAAAAAATTAAATAAAGTACTGACCTGGTTTAAATTTTTTTTTTTATTTAATATTTTGTCTCAAAAGTGAAATTTTTGAGGCCTTTGTAAAGGTCTACAAATGACCCTCAGAAGCTCTAAGAATGCAGGATTTTGCTCCATTTATTTAAAAAATTTCCAGGGGGGGGCATGCCCCCGAACCCCCCTAGAATACTTGCACCTCCAGCGCTCAGATCGAGCCTGCGGCTCTCATTTTTCCCCTTTACATATAAAACGGTAGTAAAACAAAATAGATAGATAAATCCCTGTAGGCTATTTATGAAAGTACATTAGCTTTGTCATTACTATCTTTGAGTGTTGTACTTACTGCAAGACAGTCGCTAGTCACATAGTCCCGAATTTCCTCGATCACATGGACAACTTTGCTTTCCAATACAGTGCGAGACTGAACATGCCGAAGCGCGGGTATGTTTCTTGGTGCAGCTTACTAATGTTTAAATGAAATGTCTATTTTTGAAACCAAAATGCTGGTTTTTGTCAAAACTACATAACAAGATACACTGCACTCATAGTTGTATACATTTTTGTAAAAACAATAACCTGGTTCCCCGAACCAGTTTACGAATGCATTTGGCGCAAACTAATAAAAAAATAGTAGTACAGTTTCACTTTCATTTGCAAATGTGTTTTGTTTGGGGTTTTTTTTGCGATTAGGTTTGATTGACTGTTATTTTTTAATAAATATTTTACTCTGGATGGAAATTGGGAAATTAACACCTTTCTTTTGGGAAAAAAGGTACCTTTTTTGCATTGGGAACGGGGCCGTTGAACGGCCCCAATTTTAGAGAATCGAGAGCCCTGTAGACAAAAGTTATAATAAAGATTAATCAAACAAAAGTGTTCAATAAAGTTATTATTGAAAACACTTGGCAGAGCAGCGATGTGATGTACAAGCAGGAATAGGAGGCTTTCTCGTGACAGGCAACTTCGTGCCACATATGCCTGCCAATGCACACATTTTTTCCCTGGCTACAGTACACTCTACAGAGAGAAGTTTCAATCAATTTACTGCTTTCCTCTGGTAGCCATAAGCTAAACAGACTTAATTACATATTCCTGGAGTGTCTATGCCCAACCCTGAACTTGTGCCTTGGTGTCAAATATCTTTCAAGAGTTGATGACAAACGCGCTGTTAGCCAGAGAGGACTAGCATAAATCTAGACAGTGTATTGTAAACATTAAAGGACTGCAAATGGAAATGCAAACTATGCGTGAAAAGCTTTCCTGCGCTGACATAGTTTGCTTGAAAATCGATAAACCATTTCAGCGCGTCTAAAACAAAGGAGACTCTCATTATCTGGTTAGCCTTTTTCTGAGTCTTGCTATCAGCAATTTTTTCTTTCAAATCTACGAATGAAAATTGAGGTGAATCCTATACTCACGTGTGTTAATAAATAGCTGGAAGTCTACATTAAGGGCTGCATTGTATTTATTATTTTTCTAAATTCGGTGTGAGTGCAAATCCCGGGAATGAAAACGACGATCTTCGTCTTCGAAGCGCTTAGAACAAATATAAAAATCAAACCTCGTCCGACCTTTTATCCGGATTTCCATACCATCGACTTACCCGCTGGAAATAATGTTTTTGTTCTGTAGAAAGTTTTCATATATTTAATAATTTAATTATTTTATTTTACAGATAAAATTAAAGTAAGAGAACCAATTCAGACCTGGAACTGACAGAAGTTTTACTAACTTGGTGCCTACATGTTATGTTTTTATTCTTGAAAAGTGAAACTGAAAGTAGGTTACACGTCAAAGTGGGAGTTTATAGTAACACCATTTGTGTCCAATCGTAGCTTATTCAGCTGTGATGCGAACCCAATGTCAACAGACACAGATCATGCAGATAGTGAAGATATCGAGCTGTTTAGCATGACCTCGGAAAAACGTCCTCTAGTCCCAGAAGCAAGTGTTGCTTATGAAACAGTCGACTCCACAACACACGTGCAGGATGGACACGCCCAAGGAGAGACCCCAGGGACACCAAAGTTTATCTACATCCTGTCCTTTTTTGCTGCCATTGGTGGGTTTTTGTTTGGGTATGATACAGGTGTCGTGTCCGGGGCCATGCTGCTTCTTCAGCCCGAGTTCAATCTTGACTCCGTCTGGGAAGAGATGGTGGTCAGTGCCACGATCCTGTTTGCCTGTATCTTCGCCCTCGTGGGCGGGCCTCTCAATGACAGGTTTGGGAGGAAGGCAGTTACTGTGGTAGCCAGTCTTGTTTTCACTGGTGGAGCCGTGCTACTTGGCGTCGCACAGAACAAGATCATGTTACTGATCGGGAGGAGTATTTTGGGGGTCGGAATTGGTGAGTCTACAATTGATTATAAGACAGTGTACCATATATCGTATATGATTTATACGTTCATGTACAGTAGCTTACTTAATAGAAAAAAAGTGTATATAGAGATAATTTATATTAGGGTCATTTCAGACCTTGACCTTTGAGCTTGAATAAGTTTTCAAGGTCAAGGGTCACTTTGCTATTTTAAAAGCCCATGTTGTACGAAGTTCACTTTGGGTTTTTTAGTTTGTGGAGGCACATGATTGTTCAATAATTCACAATCTCATACACCATTCATTTTACTATGTGTTTATACACAGTACTGTATGTTTTGTTCTGTACATGTCATCACTAATTATCTCATTTTCATAAAAAAAAAATCAAATTAACCTAATATCCTGTAGGACTGGCCTCCATGACTGTTCCTGTGTACATAGCAGAGTGTGCCCCCGTCCATCTACGTGGGCGACTTGTTACTGTAAATAACCTCTTCATCACCGGCGGTCAGTTTGTGGCCAGTGTGCTGGACGGAGCTTTCAGTTACGACAAGAAAAATGGTTGGAGGTATGAATCAAAGTACTAAAAGTACGGGGACAAGAATCAAAGTATTGAAAGTACTGGACAGAGCAGGAATCAAAGTACTGAAAGTACTGGTCAGCTTGTGGCCAACATGCTAGACGGTGCTTTCAGTTACGACAAGAAAAAGGGCTGGAGATAAGACAGAAAATTTTATCTGTCTCTTAATTTTTTTACCTAAAATAACTTCATCTTTTTAACTTATATCTGAATTATTCAGTGTCATTATAAATATATAATATTTTAACAAAATATTATTATATGTGTTATTCCTGCCAGGTTAGTGATATTGTTTTATTTATAGATGGATGCTAGGGTTAGCTGCTGTACCATCTGCGATTCAGTTTGTTGGCTTTCTATTTCTACCTGAGAGTCCGAGATGGTTGATAAAACAAGGCAGGATAAACGAGGGCCGTGAAGTTTTACAGAAATGTCGCGGAACAACCGACGTAGAGGAGGAGCTAAATGCCGTGAGGGAATCGTGTGAGGAGAACAGGAGGAGGATGGAGGAAACAGGTGAGGAGTTGAGGAGATGATTATGTCTGTACATTTCCACTAACTAATGAGAAGAATACAATATGTATGTATTCCTTACTATGTATTCCCTTTACAATATGTATATATTCCTTTTACAATATGTACATATTCCTTACTATATATACCTTTACAATAAATAACAATATGTATGTATTCCTTACTATGTGAACCTATTCTGTACTTTGTATATGTATTCACATATTCCTTACTTTGTAAACCTATTCTGTACTTTGTATACGTATTCCTTACTATGTAAACTTATTCTGTACTTTGTATACATATTCCTTACTATGTGAACCTATTCTGTACTTTGTATACTTTTTCGTTGTACAGGAAGTGAGAATGTGTTCCTGAAGATCCTGCGGACGCCAGCGGTCAGACGAGCCGTTCTGGTGGGGAGTGGACTACAGCTGATCCAGCAAGTCAGCGGAATAAACACCGTCATGTAAGTCAATAACAAGTCAGCGGAATTAACACCGTCATGTAAGTCAATTACTCTTTAAATTAATGAGAAGAATACACTATGTACGTATTCCTTACAATGTATAACTTTAATCCAGAAAAATAATATTATATTCAGAGTAGAAATGTTAGAAAGCAAAACCCCTTCACAAGTATCGTCAATCCGCGCTAAGTGTTGCATACAGAGTTTAGCAGATTGAACACACCTATGAAACATTACACAGTTTTTGTGAACAAGGCAAGTTGCTCTGTTATTGTTGATGTTTATGATTCACCGGGTGTGTTCAACTGTTGAGTCTGCTCACCATATTTGGACATACTGACAATATACTGTGTGTAAGTTTTGCTTTCGAACATTTGTACTCTGAATTTTCTAGATTATAGTAACTGTTTTAATAATTTTTAATTAATACACAAGATTTCCAATGTTCCTAAGAATTAAGAATAAAATAAAAATCAATCAAACCTGTCCAAAAATTTGAAGTTTCAATAACTTTAAGATGAAATAATATTTTTATGCACATGGATCAATAGATCAAAGGCATATTTTGTTTTTGTCCTATCTGTTTGTTTGTCTGCAAATTTTAACCTTGCCCAGGGATTTTTCACTCACTTTTGGGAATGGGGCCCAGGCCCTTTTAATTGGGAATTTTACGACATTTTATCACTTATTGGGAAATTCTGTTGTATGATGTTTTTCAAGAAATAAATACTTAAGATGAATAAAAATTGAACTTTTACTTACTTATTCAGAACTATGAATCAGAGAATTGATCATTTTAAGAAAGTTTTACCCAAGATTCTTCAAAATTTTCTTCTTTTCATACAAATTTCCAAACCTAAACATGTTTGTATTTTGTGAATTATGTTCAGGTTACCCTCTTGAGTTCTTCTTCTTTCAAAAATTGAATATAGGCAGTTCATTTTTGGGAAAAAGGGAGCAGTTTTGCAATTGGGAATGGGGCCCATATTCGGCCCTACACGGGGTAGTGGAAAATCCCTGTTGCCATAATTTTAAAACCTTGAAAGATAGATACTTCATATTTGGTATGCATACTCCACTAATTAAGCTCTTTCAAATGACACCAAGGTCAATGACCTTGTGACCTTGACTGTGACTTATATGGCAAAAATACCTTTTTTTCTGTAAACTTTAACCTTCACCATAACTTTTGAACCATGAGAGATAGATACATTATATTTTGTATGCATACCAATTCATCAAGTTCTTTTAAATGACACCTGCAAGGTCAATGACCTTGACTGTGACCTATATGCTAAAAATAACTTTTTTCGAATTTTGTTGCCGCCGGGTGCATAGTGTTTCACAAACACATCTTGTTTAATATATTTTATAATAAATTTGTGAAATTGTTACATTGTATCTTCAAATCTGTGTCTATGCATCTTTTAAAAAAAATTGACCTTTAAATCTGTGTTCAGGCCCCTTGATCTCTATATCTCTGATGAAACTGTGGCTTATTAAACTATAAAACTCTGTCAGAGAGAATTTCTTTCCTTTTTAAATCCAATGTACAAAAAGGTATATGTTTTTTTAATGGTTTAACTACAGGTATTACAGCGCCACTATAATAAAGATGACTGGCGTACGTGACACGAGTCTCGCAATCTGGTTGGCTGCTGTGACAGCGGGCGTTAATTTCATCTTTACGATCCTGGGCGTCTGGTTGGTGGAGAGGATTGGTCGGAGGCCTCTGATACTCGCTAGTCTACTGGGTAATACTATTTATCTGTTTTTTTTTTAGAGTTTGAAATTTTGTGAAAAAGAGGTAGATTTGTACAATTTTTATTTTGCACAAGTTATTTTTTTACAATTGAAGATTTTTTTTTTAAATGATTCTCATTTTATGTCACATAAGATTATAGCTGACATAATTTCTGGGTTATTTATTTTTATCGCAGAAAAAGCAATATATACATGTAGATCTTCCCAAAAAAGAACAGATATAATATGGTATTTACAGACAAGTCTAGTAAAAAGACCGTTGAGATTGGCAATATACAAAGAAATGTAGCATTCTTGTCTGGTAATGTGCAAAATTGCAATTCACAGGCATAGCCTGGTAAGTTAAAGCAATATGAGCTACATTTTTGAAAATTTTATTTTACTGTTAAGATGTGTTATCATGATAAATTTGTCTTTAACTTAAACCTTTATGATTAATTGGACTAAATAAAGCAGAAGAAAGACTTCTATATACAATCCAATATATAGTTTGAAATCATTATTGTACAGGACGACAATAATGTAATTTTGATTCAATCAATGCTCATCAATAGTTCTTCCATCACAAATAATAAATGAACAACAGAAATTAACGTTATTTTTTCTGTCATTGAAATACTTATTTACAATTTTGCAACAAAACATTTCGACATCAAAGTTGCAGCTCTTATTGCTTTAACTTTCAATGACAATGGCCTGGTAACTTTTTAATTTCTACGTTAATATTAATTAAACAAGAGGTCCAGGAATGTCCTTTGATATCAAGCAATATTACAAATTTTAGATCTACATGAAAGCTAGTTTATGTTTATCTGCCTTGGGTTGTATTCAATACACCTTGAGGAATAACATGTGGTGTCAGCTATATTGTAATACATGTAGTTATATTTGTAGGTGTGTTAGTTAGCTTGGTGGTGCTAGCTGTAGGTTTTCAGTTAGCTGCTTTCCATTCACCACCCGTGACCTTCACTGAGTCTAATGGTACCTGCTCATCTTACAGGTAAGTTATTTAAGGAATGAAGCTTATTTCAACATTGAAATTAAACTATAAGAAATGAAGCTTATTTCAACTTATGTTTTCCGATATAACATAACTTGGGGCAGTTTACGCTTTATAAACCACGAAGCGGTTTATAAGAAAGCGTAAACTGCCCTAAGTTTTGTTATATTGGAAAACATGAGTTGAAATAAGCTTCATTTCTTATAGTTTAATTTCAATGTAGACAATGAGACAATTTTTCCTCCGGAAAAAGGCTTCAAATTGAGCATTATTTTAAAAGTAACGTCAAGCGGAGTAATACTTTTTTGACGTCACTCATTGTGACGTAGGCAAGTTATGTTATACAAAATGGATAAAACTTTTTATCCAATCAAATGACGTGTTACAACTAAAATTAAATTATAATGAAGTATTCTATGTTGAATTCTGTATTATTTCAAAGAAAACTTTTTAGCCAATCACATTTATTTTTTTTTTTTTTTTGCAATGGCTGACTGATCTTCACTGCTTTGATCTCAGGGTGTTTACTATTTCAGATGGTGTGAAGACTGCACAGAAAATAAACATTGTGGATTTTGTTATGTTGAACTTGGAAAATCCAGGGTTAATGGCTCATGTGTTGCTATGGCGACCAATCAGACAGACGGGGCTGCCTGGGGGCGCTGTGACTCTGACCCTCGACCCCCTGACGTGGTATGGGCCAGTGATTACTGCCCCACTGACTACTCCTGGATGGGACTCCTGGGTCTAGTTCTGTATCTCATGTTCTTCGCCCCTGGTAAGACTATAACATGGTTACATACTGTAATCTACTGGTAAGACTATAACATGGTTACATACTGTAATCTACTGGTAAGACTATAGCATGGTTATACATACTGTAATCTACTGGTAAGACTATAACATGGTTACATACTGTAATCTACTGGTAAGACTATAACATGGTTACATACTGTAATCTACTGGTAAGACTATAGCATGGTTACATACTGTAATCTACTGGTAAGACTATAACATGGTTATACATACTGTAATCTACTGGTAAGACTATAACATGGTTACATACTGTAATCTACTGGTAAGACCATAACATGGTTACATACTGTAATCTACTGGTAAGACTATAACATGGTTACATACTGTAATCTACTGGTAAGACTATAGCATGGTTATACATACTGTAATCTACTAGTAAGACTATAGCATGGTTACATACTGTAATCTACTGGTAAGACTATAGCATGGTTACATACTGTAATCCAAGATCACTAAATTTTCATGACACCTTATTTTCATGAAATAGTCATTGACTCTTTATTGGACTTTTACGTAGTGCCATCTTTTATAGTTGACAGCTTACTTTTACTCTAGATCAATGTGCTGTAGCTCTCTTGCAATAAAATATTTACTCTGTCAAAATTTAATTCAACCAAAATAGTGGGTTTATTTCAAAGCCTAAATCAGTTGTCCTTAAAGAAAGCGACAACCACCCTACCCTCAACTCCCGGTCTGTTGGTGCCTTAACAATATGAGGGGCACTACCTATGACCAAGAGAAATGTGTTCTTATCACCAATGCCACACCTCCATACATGATGCAGGTTTAAATGTCAAGTAAACTGTCAACTGTGAAAGTCAGTGCTTCTTGTAAAAGTCCATTAACGAGACATAATTTCTGCAAATCATTATTATTCATTGATAGAATCGTAAGCAATACTTTAAAAAATGGAAATGAAATTTTCCCCAGTTCATTGTCTCGCATAATTACATGAAAAAAAGAGTTTTTGCCAATAAAAAATGATATACAGTAAATAAGTTTGAGATTGCTAATGGGTCCCATGCCGTGGACTATAAACTCAGTAATTTATCCTTTATGAATTCTAGGAATGGGTTCCATGCCGTGGACTATAAACTCAGTAATTTATCCTTTATGAATTAAGGAATGGGTCCCATGCCGTGGACTATAAACTCAGTAATTTATCCTTTATGAATTCTAGGAATGGGTTCCATGCCGTGGACTATAAATTCAGTAATTTATCCTTTATGAATTCTAGGAATGGGTTCCATGCCGTGGACTATAAACTCAGTAATTTATCCTTTATGAATTCTAGGGATGGGTCCCATGCTGTGGACTATAAACTCAGTAATTTATCCTTTATGAATTCTAGGAATGGGTTCCATGCCATGGACTATAAACTCAGTAATTTATCCTTTATGAATTACAGGAATGGGTCCCATGCTGTGGACTATAAACTCAGTAATTTATCCTTTATGAATTACAGGAATGGGTCCCATGCCGTGGACTATAAACTCAGTAATTTATCCTTTATGAATTACAGGAATGGGTCCCATGCCGTGGACTATAAACTCAGTAATTTATCCTTTATGAATTACAGGAATGGGTCCCATGCTGTGGACTATAAACTCAGTAATTTATCCTTTATGAATTACAGGAATGGGTCCCATGCGGCAACTCAGTAATTTATCCTTTATGAATTACAGGTGGTGCTGTGGACTATAAACTCAGTAATTTATCCTTTATGAATTACAGGAATGAGTATGCCGTGGACTATAAACTCAGTAATTTATCTTTATGAATTACAGGGTTTGGGTCCCATGCTGTGGACTATAAACTCAGTAATTTATCCTTTATGAATTCTAGGAATCATGCCATGGACTATAAACTCAGTAATTTATCCTTTATGAATTACAGGAATGGGTCCCATGCCGTGGACTATAAACTCAGTAATTTATCCTTTATGAATTCTAGGAATGGGTTCCATGCCGTGGACTATAAACTCAGTAATTTATCCTTTATGAATTCTAGGAATGGGTTCCATGCCGTGGACTATAAACTCAGTAATTTATCCTTTATGAATTCTAGGGATGGGTCCCATGCTGTGGACTATAAACTCAGTAATTTATCCTTTATGAATTACAGGAATGAGTCCCATGCCGTGGACTATAAACTCAGTAATTTATCCTTTATGAATTACAGGAATGGGTCCCATGCCGTGGACTATAAACTCAGTAATTTATCCTTTATGAGTTACAGGAATGGGTCCTATGCCGTGGACGATTAACTCAGAAATTTATCTTTTATGAATTCTAGGAATGGGTCCATGCCATGGACTATAAACTCAGTAATTTATCTTTTATGAATTACAGGAATGGGTCCTATGCCATGGACTATACTGTAAGTTATTTTTATGAATTCTAGGAATGGGTCCATGCCGTGGACTATAAACTCAGTAATTTATCTTTTATGAATTACAGGAATGGGTCCCATGCCATGGACTATAAACTCAGAAATTTATCCTTTATGAATTCTAGGAATGGGTTCCATGCTGAGGACTATAAACTCAGTAATTTATCCTTTATGAATTACAGGAATGGGTCCCATGCCGTGGACTATAAACTCAGTAATTTATCCTTTATGAATTCTAGGAATGGGTTCCATGCCGTGGACTATAAACTCAGTAATTTATCCTTTATGAATTCTAGGAATGGGTTCCATGCCGTGGACTATAAACTCAGTAATTTATCCTTTATGAATTCTAGGGATAGGTCCCATGCTGTGGACTATAAACTCAGTAATTTATCCTTTATGAATTACAGGAATGAGTCCCATGCCGTGGACTATAAACTCAGTAATTTATCCTTTATGAATTACAGGAATGGGTCCCATGCTGTGGACTATAAACTCAGTAATTTATCCTTTAGGAATTACAGGAATGGGTCCCATGCCGTGGACTATAAACTCAGTAATTTATCCTTTATGAATTACAGGAATGGGTCCCATGCCGTGGACTATAAACTCAGTAATTTATCCTTTATGAATTACAGGAATGGGTCCCATGCTGTGGACTATAAACTCAGTAATTTATCCTTTATGAATTACAGGAATGGGTCCCATGCCGTGGACTATAAACTCAGTAATTTATCCTTTATGAATTACAGGAATGGGTCCTATGCCGTGGACTATTAACTCAGAAATTTATCTTTTATGAATTCTAGGAATGGGTCCATGCCGTGGACTATAAACTCAGTAATTTATCTTTTATGAATTACAGGAATGGGTCCTATGCCATGGACTATAAACTCAGTAATTTATCTTTTATGAATTCTAGGAATGGGTCCATGCCGTGGACTATAAACTCAGTAATTTATCTTTTATGAATTCTAGGAGAGATTATAAACTCAGTAATTTATCTTTTATGAATTACAGGAATGGGTTTGTGCCATGGACTATAAAATGCAAATTTATCCTTTGTGGGCCAGAAAGTTTGCAATCTCCACGGCAACCAATTGGATCTTTTTTGGTGGTGGCCATGACTTTCTTAACACTGACAGAGAGTATTACTAAGTATGGTGAGTTAACTTTTCAGGGTTTGGGTGAGGTTATCATTATAGAATCATCATTATTTGACTTATAGGTCATAGTCTTCTATCTGTTTATGATAAAATAAATATATTACACAATTATTAAATTATCAGAATGTACTGGTTACTTGTTGGGGAGTTGTTATTTTACAGGTACTTACTGTACAGTTAATTTCTTTTTACGGAAGGATATGGAAATAACGAACAGTATTCAATCTCAACGTCCATTAAACAATATACAAAATAAGAGCAGAGCAAACATTCAAATTTCAGAGGTGGGATATGCCATGGAGGAGTGAGCATCCCCTGCCGCTGTCACACCCGCCGTGTGCTCATTGTCATAATTTGAAAATTACAAAAAATTTCATAAATTTAAGTGTAAAATTTGGACTAACAGTTTTATGAAAAACGTATCAGCATTTATTCAATGATAAATTGTATTTGCTGACAAGGTCATTGTATCGACCATAGAATTTAGTGATGACTAAAAAACTGGATATTCTTGACCATCAACCCCTTGTCAATAATTTACCTCGTTGATAAGAAATTGTTCATACGTAGAGCATGCTCTTGATATGAGATATATATACTCCGTATGCAGGTGATGAAGGTATATTGCTGCATAAGTAGGGAAAGTTAACGAAGGAAAGTTGTCATCACGTTTATCATATAGCTTGGTTGTTAATTACCATTAGTGTCTTTTTCAAGAAAATAACCCAGTATTTTTCTGATATAATATTTTTATCTAAATTCACCAGGATATATCCTACGTAGGAATGGAAATTATCATTATTAATTGACAATACGTCGTCGATATATGTAAATGTCGAGTTGAAGGCCATAGCAAGTGTTTTTCTTTTCACGCATAAGATTTTGCATAAATTCTGCTTCATATGAATATAAAAATAAGTCTGCTACGGGTTATTTTATAGGTACTTACTGTACTGGTTATTTTCTGTTTACAGGTACGTACTGGTTGTTTGTGGGTATCGTTTTCTGTGGACTCCTGTTTATTGTGGCAGCTTTACCAGAGACTAAAGGTAAAAGTCTGGAGGAAGTAGAGACTCTCTTCCAGGGATCCGTGTGTCCGGGCTTCTCCAGGAAATCCCGCAAAACAGAAAATTCCACGTGACATAAAACAAAACCTTCTCCTGACCAGGAAATCACACAAATCAACGTAACACAAAACAAAACTCTTCTCCAGGAAATCACACAAAAAAGGGAATTCCACGTGACATGGAGTTATGTTGGTATAATATTTTTATTCATTATAAATAAAAAAAAAACAAAATAAAGAGTTTAAGATTTAATAGCACTAACCAACAACAATTGATGGACAGTCGACAACGCCCCTCCGGCACGTACAAATCATGCCTCCACGTTGTATGGGATTCCCCTCTCTGTACAACCTAGCAAAGGAAACCATCGCATTAGGTTTATTAAGGACCCTCTCTACAAAATTTGTAGCCCTTCACCGGCAAGTGGTGGCATCTCCATATGAGTGAAAAATTCTCGAGAGGGACGTTAAACAACATATGATCAATCAATCACAACAGTTACTCAAGTTCATGATCGAAGTCAGCCATTATTATTTACAGTAAAACTTATTATTACATGTAATCTGGACATCATTCGTTCCAAAGAAAAAAAAACAGATTATAAACATTCCTGGCTGATAAAAATTTTAAATGTAAACAGGAATTTACTGAAATGAACTGAAAAATGTTATACATTGTAAACATGTGATGTGCCTTTATTATGAAACCTCCAGTTAAACTATATAGTAATATGACATTTTTAAAAATATTCCTATTTCAGCCATTTTTTTAATATTTATGAGTGTAAACATTTAACAGTAATAAAACATTTTTAATTTGAGCTAATTTCATCGATTTTTAATATTTTATTAAACACATAATGCAGTAGATACACCATCCTGAAACCATGCGGCTACATGTAATATTTGCTTAAAAGCTTGGTGAAAGGAATCATTAAAGATTAAAAAACACATAGAAATTTAACCCAACCAGCGTCCATCAAACATGATTGTATATTGTTTAACATCCCTCTTGAAAATTTTTCACTCATATGGAGACGTCACCGTATGCCGGTGAAGGGCTTCAAATTTAGACCTATACTCGGCACTCAGGGCCATTGAGCAGTGAGGGTTCTTTATCGTGCCAGCGCCTACCGTGACACGGGACCTATGTTTTTAAGGTCATATCCGAAAGACCCGTGACTTTCACTTCTAGTGCCAAGCGCTTGGTGAAGGAACAGTCACTACCTTTGTTTACGTCTTAGGTATGACGCGGCGCCGCGAACGAGAATCGAACCCGGGCCTCCCGATCACGAAGCGAATGCTCTACCACTAGGCTACCGTGACCGGTCCATCAAACATGAAATTAAATGTACAATGTACTTTGAACAACATAATATTTTTATTCATTATAAATAAAAAAAAAACAAAATAAAGAGTTTAAGATTTAATAGCACTAACCAACAACAATTGATGGACAGTCGACAACGCCCCTCCGGCACGTGCAAATCATGCCTCCACGTTGTATGGGATTCCCCTCTCTGTACAACCTAGCAAAGGAAACCATCGCATTAGGTTTATTAAGGACCCTCTCTACACTGCACACTAAAGAGTTCTAATTCTATGGTATTTTTCAGAAGTTAGAGTTATCTGCCCTTAGATCTTAATTTCAAAAAAATTAATTTGCAGTATATTACTTAATTATTAATCAATTCAAATTAAAATGATGTAAAAAGGGTCCATAATATATAACAAGTCAGACTTAATCAGAACACAGCGTCTTACATTCCACCCTCTGTACAGGTGCCCGCTTGGAAGGGGTCGCCTCCAGCGAAGGGGTCCCCGCCGGTGATAGAGAAGGGGGTGGAGCTAACACTCCCCGGGGTCCCTCTACACTCAGCCGGAGTCATGTTCTTGACGCGAAGATGGTAGCCCTTCACCCAACACACCTATAAAAGGGGAAACAATGAAAACTTTATTATACTCTTATGGGCGCAAATCTCCCAAATAATATGACAAAAATAAACCGAACAAGAGGCCCTTGGGCCACATCGCTCACCTGAGCAATGTAGCTAGGAAAAAAACATAAATCAGTTTATTTTTGAAAAGTTAAAACCCAAAATGGCCCCAACCAATTCTTAAAAGGGAGAGGGTATGACTTGAATCTACACAAACTTAGGATGCTTGCATATTTCTTTGACTACCTGTGGCTTTATTGCCCTTTACATTTTAAATTACATTGTGCCCCACCCTACCCCCAGGGGCCATGACTTAAACAAAATTGAATCTACACTATGAATAGGACTATTAATGGCTTTGCTATTCCTGAAAAGAAGATTTTTAAAGATTTTTTTCTACATGTTCTATGTAAAACTTGGATTCTATGTTATGGCCCTGCCCTACCCCCAGGGGTGATGAGTTGAATAAACATAAATGTCCACTATCTGAGGATGCTTTCAAAAAATCGGATAATTTATGCCTGTTTATGCCTCTGCTATTCCAGAGAAGATTTTCAAAGAATTTTTTCTACATATTTCTATGTAAAACTTAATTAGGTTTGTGTGGCCCGGCCCTTCCCTCGGGGGTCATGATTTGAACAAACTTGAATCTACACTACCTGAGGATATTTTCCCATAAGTTTCATCTTTCCTGGCAGAGTGGTTCTTGAGAAGAAGATTTTAAAAGAATGTTCCAATATATTTCTATGTAAAACTTTGATCAGCCAGTGTGGCCCCGCCCTACCCCTGGGGGTCATGATTTGAAAAAAAAATTGAATCTATACTACCTGAGGATGCTTCCCTATAAGTTTCATTTTTCCTGGCACATTGGCTCTTCAGAAGAAGATTTGTAAAGAATTTTTCTATATATTTCTATGTAAAAGTTTGGTTGGCCGATCCCCCCTAACAAACCCCTCTCCCCGCCGGATGATGATTTGAACAAACTTGAATCTACACTATTTCAGGAAGCTTTCATATAAATATGATCAATTATGGCTTTGTCATTTTTGAGATTTTTAAAGAATTTACCTATATATTTTTTTGTAAAACTTTGATCAGCCATTGTGGCCCCGCCCTACCCCCGGGGGGTCATGATTTGAAGAACCTTGAATCTACACTACCTAAGGATGCTTACCTATAAGTTTCATTTTTCCTGGCACATTGGTTCTCGAGAAAAAGATTTATAAAGAATTTTCCTATATATTTCTATATAAAACTTTGATCAGCCAGTGTGGCCCCGCCCTACCCCTGGGGGTCATGATTTGAACAAACTTGAATCTACACTGTCTGAGGATAATTTCCTATAAGTTTCATCCTGGCACAGTGGTTATTTGATTTTTAAAACACAGCATCAAATTTTCACTATTTCTGAATTATCTCCCCTTGAATCAGGACGTGGCCCTTCATTTGAACAATCTTGAATCCCCTTCACCCAAGGATACTTTGTAGCAAGTTTGGTTGAAATCGGCCCAGTGGTTCTTGAAGGGAAGATAAAAATGTGAAAAGTTTACGACAACAACAACGACAGACGACGGAAAAATTTTGATCAGAAAAGCTCACTTGAGCCTTCGGCTCAGGTGCGCTAAAAATGGAAACTTACTGTTAGTGTTAGGTTGCTGTGATATTACCTCATTTTGGACATTGACTAGTGCGTACCAAGTGGCACCAAATATGGGTATGAAGCCGCCCACGACAAAACAGTCATTATCGTGTAAAACTGCAAGGACTTTGTATTCTTCTCCCGCTATAGAATCAAAACAAGTTAATGTCAACATTATTGTTGTGTTAGAATAAGACACTGGATAATTTAATCTCTTAACAATTGTATATCGTACTGTAGAACCGACAGGACTAATTACGTTCCTCTTCAGAAATAAGACTCTGTAGATCACTAAATTTTCCCGACACCTTATTTTCGCGAGATAGTCATTGACTCTTGATTAACGAGACAAAATTTTCACGAGTTGTGGTTATTGCTCTATATAATCTTAAGGAATCCTATTATACGCGAGAATTAAATTTTTGCGAGCACACTGTCTCGCGTAATTACGCGAAAATAAAGTTCTCATGAATAAAAAGGGATTTACAGTAATTCACTGTCAACATAATAAACAGACAAACAAACAGCTGAACGGAACTAGAATCGTTGATTACAGGAACAACAAAAGAACTACTGTCCATAAAACTAATTCTGTACAGTCATCTAATTTAGATAGAGGCAAAATATAACAATTATTATCCCTTTTTTCATAAAAAAAATGACTACATTAGTAGAATGTTATGAATATTTACATTTGTTCAGAGGTGAGGGTTAGCGCCCCCCCCCTTCAGCAGTGCCCCTTCGATCCCTTTAATTAGGGTCAGGTCTTGATCACGATGCAAAATTTGACGTGAGATTTTGTAGAAAAGAATACTCATTATAAGAACAGAAGGGCATTATTATCTATATTTAAAACTTAGTTAATTAAGAAAACTGATTCTGTAGGATTACAAATGGCAATAAACTAGTATTAAAAGAACACCTCGTAAATTAATTCATGGAGGATATAAATTAACGGATGAAGGGTACATGTGCCAATGATTTCAACAAATTTTGAGCCACAACGAAATCTAATTATTCCATAAATGAAAAGTACGTTCTGGAAATTGGACACTTTTCCCGTACAATCGATCATCTGCATGATCTGTGTACTGAAAGAAGCCAAAAATGTCCTGCACAGAATCTTAGTAACTTACGTCCATCCCTGACGTAAATATCGTAATCAACAATGTCCTATACAGAATCTTAGTAACTTACGTCCATCCCTGACGTAAATATCGTAATCATCAATGTCTTATACAGAATCTTAGTAACTTACGTCCATCCCTGACGTAAATATCGTTATCATCAGTGTCCTATACAGAATAATAGTAACTTACGTCCATCCCTGACATTAATATCGTAATCATCAATGTCTTACACAGAATAATAGTAACTTACGTCCATCCCTGACGTATATATGGTTATCATCAATGTCTTACACAGAATATTAGTAACGTACGTCCATCCCTGACGTAAATATCGTGATCATCAGTGTCTTATACAGAATCTTAGTAACTTACGTCCGTACCTGACGTAATTATTGTAATCATCAATGTCTTATACAGAATATTAGTAACTTACGTCCATCCCTGACGTAAATATCGTTATCATCAGTGTCTGATACAGAATCTTAGTATCTAACGTCAATCCTTGACGTCAATATCGTTATTATCAGTGTTTTTCACAGAAAAATAGTAGCTTACGTCCATCCCTGACTTAATTATTGTAATCATCAGTGTCCTATACAGAATCTTAGTAACTTACGTCCGTACCTGACGTAAATATCGTTATCATCAGTGTCTTATACAGAATCTTAGTAACTTACGTCCATCCCTGACGTAAATATCATAATCAGCAGTGTCCTATACAGAATCTTAGTATCTAACGTCAATCCCTGACGTCAATATCGTTATCGTCAGTGTTTTTCACAGAAAAATAGTAGCTTACGTCCATCCCTGACTTAATTATTGTAATCATCAGTGTCCTATACAGAATCTTAGTAACTTAAGTCCATCTCTGACGTAAATATCGTAATCATCAATGTCCTTTACAGAACTTAAGTAACTTACGTCCATCCCTGACTTAATTATTGTAATCATCAGTGTCTTATACAAAATCTTAGTAACTTACGTTCACCCCTGACGTAAATATCGTAATCATCAATGTCCTTTACAGAATATTAGTAACCTACGACCATCCCTGGCGTAAATATCGTTATCCGCCACACATAGGCAATACCCCCTCCATAACGTATCGTGTGTCGTGGCGCCCCCTACACTCCCTACCAACAGAAGAAACAGCCCCAATGTTGTCATGACATCTACAAAGTACTAACGTGACCTCTACAAAGTACTAAGCTGACCTCTTGTAGATAAAAATATAGTCCCCCAGACGAGGAACTGTTTCTTATCTTTCTGCAGTGCTCTGTATTGTACGAATCGTTACAAAGAAAGTAAATTTACATGGAGTGCTGCAGTTTCAAATCAATTGTGATAATTATTTACAGGTCGCAGAATTAAGGACTTTTTAACAATATTTTTCTGTAAATAAAAAAGTGTTATAACTTCATATCTAAATATATTTAGACACTTTAAGGGGGGCGATCCGGACAACAGGTTAAGTCATGGTATGAAATTTCATAGCAAAGGCTCAAAAGCTTCTTGAGATATCGCTAGGAAATGAAAGTTTAACAAACAAACAGATGTTTTTATATCATGCCCTTGACCTTTTGACCCCAAATTACTTCGATATAAATATCAGTTCATTAGCAGCGTGCCAGTTACATGTATTAGCATGTTTTACTCTATATATTACAGTTTTTACTACAATATATTCATTTTACAATAAGTCAAAACAGTTTATGAGTTAATATTTCCATTTGTTTTCTCTGTGATTCATCTTTAAAAGGTAAGATCGTTGATTTCTTGATCATTCGACCAGAATGTAAAATTTGCCAAGCTAAAGGTCAGGAGTAAAGAGGGCCTAATCATGTAAATTTTGTGCGTTTTTGTGTCTGACGTCAGTGAGCGGAGATTATTGAAATTGACATGGAAGGCCTCCTGAAAACTAAATTTATTACACACTTTTAAAATCTTAATTAGCTCGTTATTCAAATTATCCCACGTTTCCAACTATCATTGATACATAGTATACACAACACAATAGACAGTGATTCCTTAAAGGTCTTTTGTCATAAATACCATTTTCACCAAAAAGAGAAAAAAACAAACGGTTGAAAATCAATATAAATCATTTAGTTTAATGAAAACAACATTATAAAAATTAATGCTGCATCAAACAATGGTACATGAAATAGACACATAATTTGTAAGTAAATGTTTCGCTGCATTCAAGCAAATGTTCACCAGGAACAACATATTAAGTAGAAAAAAGTGAAAATATAAATGTGTAAAAAAAAAACACACACACGAACACAAGAATACATTAAAACAAAACTTTTGGTTTACAAAAAAAAAAAATCAGAAATAACATCAACAAATAAAAAGAAACAGACATAAGTCTGGGCTCTTGTGTTTTTTGTAGGATTTTTGGGTTAACAATGATTGTATTTAATATTAAGGTGTAACAAGTAAATATTAAAATTGACCTCTTGGTAAATAACCAACTTCTGGGTGAACATCACAAATCTGTACATCAACAGTAATGTTTGCTATAACAAAACAGAATAAATTGCCGTTTATGTTCAATTGTTATCAATTTAATTTAATCACAATATTTCTGTAAAACAAAATTCAGATAATTCTTAAAAAGAAAGAAAAAACCTGTAACTAAATATTTACAAACAACATTTTTTACAGTTAAAACAAGTTAATTTTTTATTTAAAAGTCAGAGTGGTGTACAAGGTTATTTTAATTTTTTTTTTAAAAATCCTCTAAAAACAGTTGTAATATTGTTGAAAAATCATTTTTCAAAAAAACTGTTAAATGAGACAAGTCTTACAAAAATGTGATCTTCACTCTAATAGTCTTGATATGTCTATCTGGAGGAAGTCATTGTAATTTAATTAATTAATTTAGTTCTGAGATAGATCAATTCTGAGGGTGCACCAGAGGAATTTATGATTCTGGAATGGGTATAAATGATGAATTCCCTAATGAGGTAACAACAAACCTCAAGTGGGTGGGGTGGGGGACACATAGTCAATTAATTTGTATCATTATGTACGCATGTGTATAAAAATCGAATAAATATAAACTTTATTTCCCTAAATTTCAGAGAAATATCCGTCCAAGACTGAAATGAAGTAAAATTCACATGTAGTAGATGGTCCAATACAATAGTGTATTCTTTAAAAAATACAGAATACATGCATTAAAAACCAAAATAACTCTATGGTACTATTTTATAAGATATGTAAAAAGTTGCCATATTAGTAATATTTCATTATAAATGAGTTCTTTATAACTGATGTTTACTTTATTGTACATCCATAAATAAAGTGCAAAGATTTTATAAATTTAAAACCTTTCTTTTAAAAAGTTATTAGGATACTGGTAAAAAATAACAATTTAAGTCTTAGTACAAATACATCATAATATAAGTAATAACAATAACAAAAAGTATACATGTACAAGTGTGACTGTCTCACAAAATGACAAATTTTACCAAGAGACTAAAAAATGCGTAAAAGAAACACATTCTTAATTATACTCTGTAATTTTCCCTTAATTGTCTTACTCCTTCTGAGTATTAAGATAAATCAAAATGATATCTTAGTATAACAAATCTAAAATTCTCACTAATATCTTCAAAGAAAGTTTTCAGAAAAACCTTTCTTCCAAGCCCATCTGAGTTATAATACTTGAACAAAATATAAAAATGTTCATTATTTTTACTAACTAGGCAAATCTCAGATCTTCCATTTAAGTATTCACTTAGCAGTTTACATGTATTTGCAATTTTAAAAGAAAAAATGTTTCTCGTTCTCATTTACGTGCAAGGTTTTATGAATTGTATCAACAATTTTATTCGGGTTAGGTAAGGCCATGCAAAGTCAATTACTTGGTTCTCAGGCTTTTTTTCAAGAAATATGATGAAGGAGGGTGACATTTTAAAACAAAAACTTTTTGTTGCCCCCAAAACATGACGAGGCAGCTGTTTACAATGTACAAAATCTCAAAAAATGATAAGGGAAGTGATTTGTTGTTTTCATTTTATTGATTTAGCAATAAAAAGGGTCAAAGAGGCACCCTTGGAAGAGATGAGGGAGGGCCTGAGAACCAAGAAATGATTTTTTTTGCCTAGCAGTTCTAATGACTATCAACAGATTCTGGATTTTCAGTTCCCAGTGTTTGACTTGTCTTGTGAGCTAGCTTCTCTCGCTGTTTGATGTCACATATTATGAGCTGGCTTCTCCCACTTGTACGTTCCCGTATAAATAAAATTAAACCGTGAGCACAACTCGTCACTCTCTCTCTTGAACCACAACTGAAAACAAGAAAAAACACGTAATTCCTGCACCTCAAATCAGGAGATTAATATTAGCACTCTAGGCATCTTATTGAAAGATTAATTGGTATAGATTTCAAAATATTTTATTATCTGAAAATTACTTTTGGTATGTGATAACCAGATTTGTTCTTTTTATAAGTTTATTAATTATGAATATCAATGATATTACAAATTATAATGGTAATGATATTGGCAGTAATGACAGTGTGCTGTACAAATGAAAAATAAGAAAAACATGACATTACTTACAAATGTAAATTCACATGAATATTATGAAGCATTACTAAAAAATATGAATAAAAATAATTTTACAAAATATGACGGACAGTTGACCTTTTCATTATAAAGATTTATAACATATTACACTCATAATAAACTCATGAATAAATATATAACATGCTTTCATATAAATCTTACCCCAGCTAGGGCCTCAATGCATAAACTCAGGTCAAGGTCACCGTCGACCACAGTGATACTGTACAACCTAACCAAAAATCAATATACCTATGTTACCTCAAATTGTAGTTGTAAACAATAACAAAAGTATATCTCGTAAAATAATTTTAAACTTCTTCATAACAAAAGTCTATTAAACATCACTAGAAATAAAATGAATAGCCAATGTGATATGGAACGTTTATCAACAAAACATGCTGAACTTATTCTATTGAAATAAATATTTTCAGACTTTACAAATATTAAAATAACCCTACCAAAACATACTTTACTATTATGAGCAAAGTTATATTAAAGAATGTAAACTTACAGTTGGTACACCTAGCTAAAGATATTATTCAGCTTCAACAATGTTACTGTTCAACACACAGCCTTCATAGCGCGAAACATTTCGTGCAAAATCATAAACTATGAAGTCACGTGATCACAGGATGTTGAAATTATCAAAATATTAAACAATACATTTAAATAAAAACTTATGTGTATTTTCCATCATTATTTGAAAAATGACAATGACAAAAATTATTTTAAATGAAAATCTCAAATACTTTAGCTGAACAGAATTTCTGTTACTAAAAATAGATGTGGAAATTACCCGCAATGACAAACAGTGTATGAAAACAAAGAGAGATAACTCTATTGTAAAAATCACCACATCACATTCTTCCCTGCTAAGTATTTTTGCTTTCCACAGCAAAAAAATTGAAAAATATACACACACAAAAATATTTTTCAGAAGAAAACTATATACTAATTTTCAAAAATATTACAAAATGTCTGATTCAAATCATATTTACACAAAAATTTCTTGCAATTCTAAAACTGATTGTGGCAATTTGTTTGGATTTGAATGTTTTCCTGCGTTAGTTCTTAAAGATCTGCGCAACGGAACCGGCTTCCCTGCTTTTTCTCTTGCATCCTCTGAATGTACGGAGTTTCCAGTATTTGTATTGAATTCACATTTTTCACTTGAATCACATTTTTCAATTGAATCACATTTATCACTAGATTCACATTTTTCACTTGATTCACATTTTTCACTAGATTCACATTTTTCACTAGATTCACATTTTTCACTATGAATTCCCACGGAAGAATCCTCACCATTCACATCTGGCTGTAACCGGTCTGCTTGTATGTCTGATTGTGTTTCTTTATCCTTGGAATCTTTCTGAGCTGATATTTTCTCCATAGGTTGAGGATAGAGAGTTGACCATCCACTTCCCTCATCTTTTTCGATGTTGTCCACAGCATCGACTTTCTTCAGGGAATCACAAAACTCTCCTGTATTTAACAGTTCTGTTCTGGTAACTGTTTTCTTTTCTCCTGAACCATCTAACAACTGTACTGTGTATACGTTATTTTCACGTTTTTCAAGTACTTTGTATGGAGTTGAGTTCCAATGATCTTGAATCTTGTTTCTGCCCAAAATGTGATTCTTCAGTAACACTATGGATCCTACTGGAATAGGTTTTTCATGTGCGTTAGCATTATAACGATCTCTTCTATTCTCAGCATTTTTCTCTATGTTATCTGAAGCTAACTTCATCATATCCTGCATTTTCTTGTTATGCTCTAGAATCCAGTCATCCACACCTTCCTGATTCTTCTCTGAATTTAAAAGCAAGTCTATCGGTAAACGTGGGTTTCGTCCGAACATTAAATAGTATGGCGACAAACCTGTAGACGCATGTGGGGTTGCATTGTAGATGTATGTCATCTCAGCTAAATAATCAGGCCATCGCTTTTTCTTCTCGGGTAGTAAAGTTTTTAATCTGTCATGCAACGTACGATTATATCGCTCACATTGTCCATTCCCAATGGCGTGATAGGGAGTCGTCCTCGACTTTTGAATGTTATAGATCTTGCACAATTCCTTGACTACATCACTTTCGAAATTCCTTCCTCTATCAGAATGAATTCGATGAGGTATGCCGAATTTGAAAAACCAGTCTTTCACCAATACTTTTGCCACTGTAACTGCCTTTTGGTTTGGGGTCACTATAGCTTGTGTAAACTTTGTAAACACATCTGTTATGATAAGCACATTTTCTTTTCCATCACTAGATTTCTCGAGGAGAGTAAAATCTATGGCAACAATTTCCAATGGCTTATGAGCTATCAAACTTCCAATTGGCGGTCTAACAGTTGGTATGGGAGCCTTGGCAATCATACAGCGCTCACATTTCTTGATCCAATGTTGAATGTCGGAATACATTCCTGGCCAAAAACATCTCCTTTTCACGAGTGCGAAAGTTCTCTCAATTCCTTGATGACCAGAATAATTATGCAGAGAGTCCAATACTTGATATTTCAAGGATTCTGGAAGTATTAACTGCAAAAATTCTCCCTCTGAGTCTTGACATTTCTTGTATAGAACACTATCTTTGAGAACTAGTTTGTCCCATTTATGCAGGAGTTTTCGTGCAATGGGTGGTTCCTTCCCAATTAATCTCAATGTTGGTTTATGTCCTTTCTTTAACCACGATAGAACGGCAGCCAACGAAATATCTTCCAATTGTAATTTTGCAAGCTCTTCCTTGGAAAATTCTGGAAACATCTTAGTTGCTGTAAACTCAGAATCATCTTTTGATTTTTCCTTAGACTGCAGGCTCTGAACATCAGTTAACGTTGTACTTTTCACCAAATTGGTAAGAATTTCTTCTGAATATACATGTTCTGTTTTATCTGCACACCATGCCACTGACATTTCCTCGGTTGAAATGGATTCTGCATGAACAGTTTTTCTACTAAGTGCGTCAGCATTCCTATTTGAACGTCCTGATCTGAACATGATCTCAAAGTCAAATTGTGCCAGTTGAGCAGCCAATCTCATTTCTACAGATCCTAACT